ATGGAGCATTGCCTACTTTCCTAATTGGTGAAGTCACCTGATACAAAACCATGTAATCTATGGTGTTGATTTTGAATGAACGCCTAGCCTCATGCTTTATTTTTTTTCTTCAACTAGCAATCCGCATTCTAAGTACAATTGGATTTACATACGTGTTTCATCGGGGCCTAAAATCTGTTGAGCTTTGAAAATGACCTTAGCGGTAAAGGTGATTCGCTCGGAAAAAGTTGATCAAGAGCGAGTGGTCCGTTCAAAGAAGGTGGGTCTGTTTAAAGTACATAAGTGGGTCTATTGAAGGAGGTGGGTCTGTTTAAAATAAGTAAGCCTGTTCAAAGGAGGTCTGTTGAATGAAAGTGTGTACGACATCTAGTGTCTTATTCGGACCCTATCATCTCCCAGGTCTACGCGACTGAAGAAATAATGGCAATTTCCGATGAACTTAGAATGACTGATGTCAAGACTTTACCGCTTTGTACTGTAGCATGTTCATAATCTCTGCACCTTCAGTTTCAAGAGAGCTGCCGTTCGACAGACCAACGGACACATTGTTAAACGTGACAATGCCAAAATTGTCAAGGACAACTAAGTGGCTTCCTTCTTCATAATCTTCCACAATCCACTCCGCATTTTGTCCATTAAGAGTGGAGGACGAGTCAGGCGCGGTACCTGTAAGGCTTTGGCTCGCTTTCTGACCGTTCGTTAAATTTTCAATTGTCACAGTTCCAGAACTAGGAGAAGTAGACACAACACAAAGAGAAATCCTATCACCTGCATTGATACTGATACCCGAGAATCCGCCAGCATAGTCAGGATACCACTCATACCAGGCACCAAATGAGGCAGACCCATTGGAAGTGACACTCAAGTAGACACCAGTCTGAAGAATCGCGTTTGGATATGTACTGCCATCAATACCAACCCAGACGGATGAAGAACCGGCGCGGCCATTGGCTGGTTTGGGAGTTGGCACGCTGAATTCTGCTGAAACGGAGGTGAAAGTGGTTCCTGACGGAGGAGCATTCAGTACTGCACCGGACCAATTCAATGTGAGATCGGCATTGGTCTTGTTCGAAATTCCATCTAGTTGGGAAAGCCTTCTATTGGCGGCATGTGCTACTTCCGGACCATACGGCTGTGGCGCAGCGGCCAAGACGGTTGCACAAAAAAGACTCAAGAGCTTCATAATCAAAATTTATCTATGATTTCAAACTTCTCGAGTACGTGTACATATTAGGAACCTTAAGAAGCTATCTAAATTTCCAATACAGTATTAGATCTTTGAAGTCATTGATATGCTTCCAGGGCGGTAAACTTACTTTAATTCCGGACAACACGAAGGCCATCGTGGATGGGCGCACTTTGGACATCCACAACAGTATGGCTCACCTTCCGCATCGATTACCTGCTGTGGTGAGGTCTCGGCCTTCAATACAGAAAGAAGAGAAAGAAACAAAAATAAGACGCAGAATACACAAAAATAGAGCGACTTAGACTTGCACCCCTTTTGGTGGCAAGGGCTTGGTAATTGTTTGGCAGTTTTGTCCATCCCCCCAAGACTTCCAGCCGACGATTATACGTGAGGATTCCAACTTTGACCCCTAAGCCATCAAATTCTACCTCGCCGATACTTTTGCGTTGCAATAGATCTTTCAGGTAGTTTCTTGCCTGATCGACGATATCGTTAGAGACGTCACGTCGCCTCTGTAGTACATCTCACAAACTGAGGGTGCTCTCAAAATCCGGTTCTCTAACTAGACTACGGAAACTCAGGTTTTGAACCTGCTTTACAGTAGTTGAGTTCAATTTCTCGCGTGAATACACACAATAATCAGATCAATTGTGTTGCTAAGATCCTTCATCGCAAAGCATCGGAACGGAAGTGCTACAGTAATAATGTTTGATGTTGGGAACGCTAGCGCGCAGAATGACAGACCATATATTACAGTACAATGCTGTACGCTCTACGGTAGTGTATGTATGAGGTCATCCTTGGCCCCTTTCCGATGAAGACGCGGCTTCAAGTTTACGCGCTAGGCATGGAGTGTTTTGAGGACTTTTGCCTGGGCGACCAGTTCTGTTCTTTTGGCTGCTGGGCACGTAATTCAAGTATAGTGAGTATAGGGATAGGTGGATGTATGTGGTTGTTCAGACCTCATAACATGAGGTCAAAGGGCGGATACCAGGTCTACTATACCTGGGCGCTTGCGAGAGTGTACTATTTTATATATACAGACAAATTCGAAACCTCCTTCACTTTTTTTCTTACTCTCTCTCTTTACTTTGCCCCACAGCCAGGGCTGGTGGCTAAACTATTCCGAAGGCGACTAGTCTCGTAAGGTATTTTGCTAGGGCTGTACAAATCTTTACGCTATATACGTTATGTAATTCATATCATTGGTTCTTAATTGATATGTCTGTATTGTCTTGAAAAATTAAAGCAATATTTAACTATTGTGGAGCTAGCTCCAAAAATATACCCCGGAAAGTGGGGCCCAAAAAGGAGACAGAGAAAGAAAAAAGTGAAGGAGGTTTCGAACCTGTCTGTAGCATTTAGAGCGCCCTGTTAGACGAATAAAAGGAAGTTACATTTTTGGGACTAAATTCTAGAAATCAACATGCCAGTTGTGTGATAACATTTTTCCTAAGGAAAAAAAGGATTGGCCGCGTAAATGCGCCTCGTTACTCCTGCATTTACTTTTGTATGCGTCAGTAAACACGCTCTGCTAAGATATGTTCAAGAATATCATATAGCTATACTCTATACCTTCAATGGATTTGTACTCAATTATTGATATTCCTTTTTTTATGCACATTGATATGTACTCGCAACTCGCCCCTCTTTGACTTTTACTGGGCGTGTTCTCACATCCACCAGCGTCAAGGTGTTTTGTACGCCCTAATATCTAGACAGAACCAAGAATTAATTCAGACCACGTCAATATAAGTTGCCTAGAAAAGTTGCCTAAAAATTAGAATAGGGTTGCAGACACCAAAATGTATGACTCCAAGTCAATTTGTCCGAAACTGAGAAAATTTTAGACCTCATTTTACCGTATATCTTCACTCTCCCTGCGGATATAAAACGGGTTTATACGTTATTACAAATATAAACATACCACCACCCCACTGTGTCTTTGTTTATCACATTTAACCCTTAACACAGATATGGTCGCATACCTTTTCCTCGACATTCCAGTAGGTCAATCAACCAAAATGCTTTGTGAAATAGAGATAACCCATTAGATCCTGAATGATAACCAAGGCCAGCTTTTTGATCACGACATACAGGTAAGCCACCATCCAAGCTAGACGCTAGATCTAAGCCACAGAGCTTGAATCGGCTCACCTTCTTTATGTAGCTCGCTGAGCAACTTGTAAGCATTGTGAATCAAATTCGTCTGCTTCGTGAGGACAGAAAGAATTCGGTATTAGCTTTACTCCAAAGCAAGTATTCTGAGTTATTCCGAGTGCAGAGTAAGTGGAAGTTAACATTAACAGTCTGAGGCAACACCCGTTGACCTGACTTCAACGCTTTGCCCTTCTTCTAGTGATAATTAATGGCGTATTGATTCTAAGTGACATTTATCCTCCACAACAGACTTCGAGCGACCTTTAGCAGGTACACCCATCGTTACTACAGGATCGTATTTGACACCACCGGAAAACAATGGCACAATCGGCGTTGCTAGTGCAGCAGAAACGACGGTGTCATACGGTACAGCTCTACAATCCAGCTACTATTCCACTAACGGTGACGCCCCTGTCACCGACTGGAATGATGATTGGGACGCGCTTGTAGACTTATCGCCGCATGGGAGTGTAGCCCCTTCTATTGGCGATGGACGGCACAGTATACACTTGTCCGGTGAAAATGTAATAGATCATGATTTTCAACTGATTAACGGAAGTGATCCTAGCTTGAGAGCTGCTATAAAAGCAACAGACGTGCGGTATCATCAAGGTCTCCTAATTATGCGGAAATACTACATACCCCCTGAAGGTGGCCCTTCAGATATGAATCAGATCTCGCTAGTAGTCCAAGCCGGTTACGCAATTTTAAGACCGGATATACGCAACTATATCGAGATTGACATCAACCGCTGGCTGTCATTCGGACTATGGCCCGCTGTTGATGATTCGCAGTCTAATAATTTTTGTCGAGAATGCTCAAAAGAGGTAAACAGATTGAACATGATGGCAAAATCCGAAGCTAACACCATGCAACGACGAGTGCTGCGCATGAGATTGTATCACTGGTATATGGAGCTACAGAAGGAACTCAAAGTCCCAGAAAAAAGGCCCGCGCTTCGTCGTGGAGAGAAAATACAGACAAAAGCCATAGATATGATTCTCAAGGACTCATATCTCGATTGGGAAGGCGCAAGTGACTTAGAGAAAAAGTCATATCGAGACGAATTTCATAGGAACAAAGACGTTGGTTTGAAATGGTGTACTCTTGTGCAATATTTTGGCGAAGGTATAGCAGTGATATGTGGGAAAGAGATGGACTTGATCATGTATGTAACTGTCGAGTCTCGAGTTCGATTCGGAGAAGGCTAATCCGCAATGATTAGTAACGATACTAAGTTCAAACCCAAATCGCTGCACGCGCTAGCCACTTTCGTGCTCAATTTCTATCCTGACGTGCCACACATATGCCGTCTCTTTGGTTTCCCACTCAAGTTCTTTATACAAGATATAGGAGCAGGCCCTGATGAGTACCACAATTGGCAACACAGCCTGGACCAAGAAGGAGCCATAATTATGGTGAACAGCGGTCTAAAAGGCCCCCAAGTGCCATCAGAGCCCCCCTCCACCTGGATTGTCCCGGACTGTTTGGAGATGGATCTTACAGGTTTTATTCGGGGTGTATTGAAAGATAGGAGACGACGGCTCTATCCTGCGCCAGGGTGATTTTTTTTAGTGAAAATTCTTTCGCGTTGCCCTCGGCTGAAGAGGGGACGGAAATTCTTTTACTCCATGTAGTGTATACTGTAAAAGTACAAGATTCAATTCCTCATTTGATTACTTTCAGCTAAACCACCGGATCCTTCTAGACGGGGATAAATATAATTTGGGGCCAGCCTATGTATATAGAAGTATGCCCGCCAGCTACATCTCCACTTGGTGTAACTGCTGCTTGGTTGAACAGTATTCCTGCATGAGCACTCGATGAACCGGTTGAACATACTACGATAAACAATCTATTGGCATACCCTCGCGGCATGCTCGACAGTAAAACAGGGAAGTGTGTACCAACACATTGAATTCAGATCTTAGGGCACTGTAAACTCGACGGCTGCTCCCTCCTTAATGGTATATGCCGGAGCCTCGGTTCAACAACCTTTTCATATGGTGCTGTTGAACAGTTTGCTTGTCATGGTTGATCATGGAACGATCCCATAGAATTGAGCCAACACCTCAACTTACCATACCCCACTACTATGTTCATCATTGGCAGTTAACGATGACCTAAGATGAGGCTTACCCAGCACTAGTCAAGCGCTAAGGCAGCCACACTGGTCAGATCTCCACTTGGCACATTTACTGTGTATACTACATAGTACTTGGTTGGACAGTTAAACAGTTGAACAGTTATGACAGTTTATAAGACTGAACACTTAATAATAAACGAATGTGGACCTCGCTTGGGAAAGCCACCAAACCGGTGTTACATGTACCCACACATCAAAGAATGTATATTATAAATGGTAACGGCTGTTTGCGGCTTTAAGGTCACCTATTCGCTTTCTGGCTAACGTTTACATATTATGCTATAAGATAACCCCTGCTGACCGATGCATACTCATCAGCTTACTTGTTTTCCCACTATGAGAGGCTAATCCCCGATCTTTTCATTTTTGTTTTCGTTTTGCGCTCTTCTGAGGGTACTGTAATGGACTTGCTTCTATTGTTCTTCCTTCTTTCCTCTTTCCATACTGTATACTGTATGAGTGTCTTTACAGTAGTTTGCACCTTCAGAGTAACAGCTAACACTCTCTTCTCTTTCTTCTGAAACAGTGCTAGGAGTTTCCTAGTCTACATACAGCTAGATCCGGAATAACCCTCGCTCGTGTAACTTTCTCCGTGGCGTATTGCGCATTCGCAGATTTGATACGCCCGTAAATTACATGTATCACTACCTACTCGTAGGCTTGGGTAGTGCGCAAATTTATTTTACCTACTCCGTAGTATATGCGTGTTTTTCCATAGGTGGCCGGTCCAATATTGACCCGAGATGTCAGCAGTGATCGGAGTAACTATAAACACGAAGAATCTGCCATTTACTTCGGCTTTCTCGCCCATATCTGACATTTTAGTTTTCGTAATATATATGTTGTTACTAAGGTATAGCGTTACTTTACAATAGATTCTCCTGGATCTTAATCGACAACTAATAGGAAATAAAAACGGCTCAACATTTTGTATAATTAATTCAAGGGTAGTTAGTTTACGGTATAATTGTGAGTAATCAACTCAATTCGTCTCAGATTGCTGAAGCTGGTTAATGCCATTCAAGCACAATTAAAGACATCGCTCCACTTTGCGCTTATTAAGTCCATTCAAATGAATGAGAATGGTGTCTAGCAAGAATAATCCTTTGGATCTGGATCGACTCCATCCGTGTTGAGAAGTAACTTAACTATTGCCTCATGCCCCTCTGATGCAGCTCTTGATAGTGGTGTCTGGCCATCATTATCCTTTAGATCTTGATCAACTCTGCCTGTGTTGAGAAGTAGCTTCACTGTTGCCTCATGCCCTTTATATGCAGCTATTGACAGTGGTGTCCGGCCATCATTATTCTTTAAATCTGGATCAACTCCATCCGTGTTGAGAAGTAGTTTCACTATTGCCTCATGCCCTTTTGATGCAGCATAAAATAGTGGTGTCGAGCCATCATCCTTTGGATCTGGATCAACTCCATCTGTGTTGAGAAGCAGCTTCACTATTGCCTCATGCCCTTTTGATGCAGCATAAAATAGTGGTGTCCAGCCATTATTATCCTTTGAATCTGGATCGACCCTATCCGTATTGAGAAGTAGCTTTACTATTGCCTTATGCCCTCTTGATGCAGCTCTTGAAAGTGGTGTCCAGCCATTATTATCCTTTAAATCTGGATCGACTGTATCTATGTTGAGAAGTAGCTTCACTACTGCCTCATGCCCTTTATATGCAGCCATTGACAGTGGTGTCAGGCCATTATTAGTTCTTGAATTTGGATCGACCCCATCCATGTTGAGAAGTAGCTTCACTATTGTCTCATGCCCTTCTGATGCAGCATAAAATAGTGGTGTCCAGCCATCTCTATCCTTTGAATCTGGATTGACACCATCCATATTGAGAAGTAGCTTTACTATTGCCTCACGCCCACTTGATGCAGCATAAACTAGTGGTGTCCGGCCATAATTATCTTTTGAATCTGGATCGACTGTATCCGTGTTGAGAAGTAGCTTCACTATTGCCTCATGCCCTTTTGATGCAGCATAAAATAGTGGTGTCGAGCCATCATCCTTTGGATCTGGATCAACTCCATCTGTGTTGAGAAGCAGCTTCACTATTGCCTCATGCCCTTTTGATGCAGCATAAAATAGTGGTGTCTGGCGAGAATAATCCTTTGAATTAGGATCGACTCCATCCACATTGAGAAGTATGTTGACTATTGCCTCATGCCCTCTTAATGCAGCATAAAATAGTGGTGTCCGGCTATCTCTATCCTTTGAATCTGGATTGACTCCATCCATGTTGAGAAGTAGCTTTACTATTGCCTCATGCCCTCTTGATGCAGCTCTTGATAGTGGTGTCCGGCCATCATTATCCTTTGAATCTAGATTGACCCCATCCATATTGAGAAGTAGCTTTACTATTGCCTCATGCCCTTCTGATGCCGCGTATGATAGTGGTGTCCGGCCACGATTATCTTTTGAATCTGGATCGACTGTATCCGTGTTGAGAAGTAGCTTCACTATTGCCTCATGTCCTTTTTGTGCAGCCTCTGATAGTGGTGTCCGGCCATCATTATCCTTTGAATCTAGATTGACCCCATCCATGTTGAGAAGTAGCTTTACTATTGCCTCATGCCCTTCTGATGCCGCGTATGATAGTGGTGTTGAGCTATGATCATCCTTTGGATCTGGATTAGCCCCGTATTGGATGCTAATCCGAGCAGTACTCTCATTCCCGTATTTAGCAGCCCATAGTAGTGCGAAGCTATTTTTATTTTGACGGTCATACCGATAAAGACATGGAATAAACACGGAATAACAATGTCGGCTGGTCCGAGATAATGCGCTTATATCCTTTTCTGTTTCGAGGAATTCTGTCAGGAGTTGTAATAATTCAGTAGGTAAATCTATCAGTTTCATTGTGATTTGCTAGGGATGTTCATAGAAAGCGTTGAGAGGCTGGGAGTCGGGATTTCAGTCCAAGAACCTGTTGCTGGTCAACAGGAGACAGAAGTGTTAGGCTTGCTCTACTAACTTTACCAGGCAGTTTTAGAACACGTGTTCAGACTATTGTATTTTACCGCCATTCATGTATTGTAAATAAAAGTCTGTATCGACAGATACTGTACGAGCCTGTGGAAATGCCATTAAAAAGTCGATTTTGTCGATATGGTTGAATCCAAGCCTCATTCGTTGCTCAACAAGCTGCCCATAATGCCGTTTTAAAACAGCAAAACAGCCAACATCAAGAGGCTGTAATAGATGTGAAGAATGAGGTGGCATGCAGATTGGAATAATATTATTCTCAGTGCATATACGATTAAATTCTGCAGTCAAATGGCTTCCATGGCCATCAAGAATCAACATTCGATATTTTCCCATTGTACGATCATTAATATAGGGAATAAAATGGGTTTTAAGCCATTCTAATCCTATTTGATCTGTAGTCCAACCATTCTCGCTAATATTGATCCTCCAATCACTTGGAAGATCATCAAACCAGCCTAATCGTACGTTTTTCTTTGCCTTGAAAATAATGTACGAAGGAACAGCCCATCCAGTTGAATTTGTTGCCTCAATTGCAGTCACCCATTCTCGATTCCCAGGCTGTAAAAGCTTTGGCCGTGCATATCGATCGCTTCCAGTAATAACCTTTGCAGATGAGCAGAGTCCCATAGCAAAGCCCGTCTCATCAAAATTATAGATATCTTCTGGTAAGATGCCGTACTCAGATATTATATCTCGTACGCGGTCAAAATGGCCTTGTATAATCTTTGGATCTTCACATTTGGCACGTTCGTAGTTGTATTTTTGTGAGAATTTGGATTCAATCTCTGGGCGACGTTGAACAAGATTATATACCCATTTATCTCCAACCCGTTGATCTCCACGTTGTGAGAGAAAATAATTAGCCATATCTCGTACAAGAAAGTGCCGGGGTGGTAATCCACGTCTAGTTAAATCAAGCACCCATTTGACAAGTGATTCCTCCTCAAATTGGGTTAATTTATGGTTGCTAGCACGTATCGCATGTTGAAATGGTACTCCATGTAGTCGATCTTGGAGAGTTGTACGAGGGATTGTATAGATTCTTGCAGCTTCACGAATACTGCGAATTCTTCCATTTTTTAAATCGGAAATAGCTAATCCAATCTTCCCCTCATTCTGAGCTGATTTTAGAGGGTCTTTTTTTCGAATTGGTGGCATTTTAACGCGTTGTAATGTTGTAAATCAATATAGAGAGTTATTTTCCGGAGAGGTGGCCGGATCGCTTACGTGGCCGGACCGCTTACCGATTACGTTATCCAGCAAGACAGTGTCGGATAATTCGGATATCCGGAGGCAGTAAAAGGAAGTGAACAATCAAAAGCCCTATCTTATAGCCCCCAAAATTTACCCCTCTTGATGACTCACAAATCACTCCGCCAAAAGTGTCTATAAAAGACCTGGCTTTGAAACCTAATGGATAGAGAGAGAGAACATACATATACAATCTTGCTAGTCACTTCTTTTCTTTGATCCTAGTAAAACACTTTTCAGGATTAGCCTGGAATGAACCGACTAATCCGACAGAAGCTAGGAAATTTCGATATATTGTTGCACACTCTCTAATACAAAACTTCTAGGGAATGTTGATCTCTTTTATATATGAGGTTCTGTACAAACTAAATCATGAGATGACGTCTAGTCGAACTTTCTAGATATAGGCACATTAGAACTGATGGGATATGCCTATACCTCGTCAGTATGTGAATCCAATTCTCGAAATTTCTTCACATTAGTATCGTGGCAGATTCTTTGACTCATTCCAAATTAGGAATAGCGTATTACGTTCCAACAACTTCCCTGCAAAACGTGATATTCCGATGATATTGGAATCTTTTGGTACTAGTCCGAACGGGGTTAGGCTCTGATAGGAGTTGTACAATTTGGGTGAGGAATAATTGACTCTGATTTGCACGTCTTCTAAAACATAGCTAACTACACATCTTGATCCTCTTTATATACACATCATAGTGGCAAAGTATCACGGATTTACGGGATAAATGACAATACTGACTCCAAAATGTAGGCTTGAGTTTGGCTCTCATGTTCTCACGGATATGCCGTTATTCCGAGGAATCATGATTAGTAATGACATCCTGATTGGGATTAGCGTATCAAATATCCAACAGATGATAGCTCCACTGCGAGTCCAGCGTCAGCCCGTCGCTGGCGTCGCAATCCAAAAATAAGATGCATCACATATTGACTCACATACCTTATTCTACGTTACCATATTACCAGTTATAAGCCATGTGTCACCGCATACCCATCAGCTCACTCCTTAACCATGTTAGTACCGACGAGAAGGCTCCCAATAATACAACACTTTGCCAGATTGTGCTCCATCTACAAAGACCCGGGGACACCTACACAAAGGAGTATGTAAATACGCTCTAATCAGATATGATAATTTGTGCTAACTACCTCTATTATTCTATCATAGGTATTTTCGGGGACGGTCGCTCGGAAGCCCGACCGGGGGTTCTTCGCTGATGGGTAGCGCAGAGGGTGCGTCGCAGAATGCAGGAAAATGTTACCGTTGTCCACTTAAGACCTGTGGTCGACCATTCAGTACATCTAAGAAGCTAGCCAGTCATTATCGCAGAGATCACATGCCCTCATGGAGGGAAGAAGGTACGTAGCTATGATCTCTAGCTGACTTGATTCTTACGGTAACCTTTTACTTCTAGTGATGACAATGATCGCTGAGCGGCAGAAGAGAAAAAAGTACAATGGCATCAATGATAAGAGCTTAAGTGCATAGCAAGTCCAAACACATCGCCAGTACTCAGCCAATTCGTGGTCTGTCATACCTATAGCGCTGGGTATGGGCAATAGACATGATTAATAATCCACGACATAAGTACAACCAAGTAACTAACTATTTAACTAACAGAATGCAATGCATCTATTAGGTAAGTATAGCTCTCACCAAGCAGATGACTAAGCTCTGTGGTTTTAATCTTGATGCATAACGTAATCGGTAAGCGAAGCGACAATGTAACCGAGCCGACAGTTTCTCTCCGAACGCGTACGCAATATTGAATTCAAATCTCAATTCCTAACCCAAAATTATAATTATGCACAAAAAATTAATTACTAGTAAGATTAGGGCATTGAGGTCTTCTATGCCCGAGAATATTACACTCACTACATCGAAATTGGCGACGTACTGGTGGATGAGAGACTGGGAGCTCAGGCTCGGCCGGAGCAGTAGTAACAGCTTGAGATGCCTCAATCTGACCTTGTACAAGTGCCTGAGCTTCCTCTCTGGGAATTCCTTGATCATGGGATATTTGCTTTTTAGATTTTTGACGTTTTTGCTTCTCCTTCTCATGTGCAGCCCGTAGATCATGGAGTTCCTTCTGGGCAATTGTAAGCTGATTAATACTCATCTCATAAGCCTTTGATGCCCGTGTAAACACTTCACCAATAGCCTCAGATGAACTTCTTGTATGCCGGCTTATTCTCTTCTTCGTTGTAGTCATTTGGCGCTTAAATTGACGTGCGTTTTGAGGGGTTTGCAAGCAGGATGATTGTGTATCACTTGATCGACTTGGAGGGGGTGTTGGAGTCTTCAATCGAACAGTGAGCTGTTGATAAACTCGATCTGGATTGAATGGTACTAATCCAGTTGCTGTAAAGCTATTCCGAACAGTTTGAGCTTTATATGCCATCGTACGAGCCTTTGGGAATGCAGTAAGAAAGTCAAGTTTATCAATATGATTGAATCCAAGCCTCATTCGCTGCTCAACAAGCTGTCCATAATGTCTCTTTAAAACAGCAAAACAGCCAACATCAAGAGGCTGTAAAAGATGTGAAGAATGAGGAGGCATACAGACTGGAATAATATTATTCTCAGTGCATGTACGGTCAAATTCAGCAGTCAAATGGCTTCCATGGCCATCAAGAATCAACATCCGATAATTTCCCATTGCACGGCCATTAGTAAGAGGAATAAAATGGGTTTTAAGCCATTCTAATCCAATCTTATCTGTAGTCCATCCATTATCACTGATATTGATTCTCCAGTCATCAGGAAGATCCTCAAACCAGCCTAACCGAGTATATTTCTTTGCCTTGAAAATGATGTATGAAGGCAGGGCCCATCCAGTTGAATTAGTTGCCTCAATTGCAGTCACCCATTCTCGATTTCCAGGCTGTAATAGCTTTGGCCGAGCATATCGATCGCTTCCAGTAATAACCTTTGCGGTTGCACAGAGTCCCATAGCAAAGCCAGTCTCATCAAAATTGTAGATATCTTCTGGTAAGATTCCGTACTTTGATATAACCTCTCGTACGCGATCAAAATATTCTTGGATTAACTTCGGATCTTCGCATTTAGCACGCTCGTAGTTATATTTCCGTGAAAATTTTGATTCAATCTCTGGGCGACGTTGAATGAGATTATAGACCCATTTCTCTCCAACCTGTTGATTTCCACGTTGTGAAAGAAGGTAATTAGCCATCTCTCGTACAAGAGAGTGCCGAGGGGGTAATCCACGTTTGTCTAGATCGAGTACCCATTTGACAAGTGATTCCTCTTCAAATTGAGACAATTTATGTCCGTTGGCACGTATTATAGATCTTTGTTGAATGCCGTTTAACCTGTCATATAGCGTCGTCCGAGGAATATTGTAAATGATTGCAGCTTGATACACACTTGAGATTTTTCCATTTTTTAAGTCGGAAATAGCTAACAAGATCCGCCCCTCTTGCTCTGCTAAATCTTTTCGTTTTTATTGCGAATTGGTGGCATGTTGACGCGTTGAATAATATGGAATCAATATTGAGTACGCGTTCGGAGAGAAACTGTCGGCTCGGTTACATTGTCGCTTCGCTTACCGATTACGTTAAGGTATGATCTTTACTCTGCCCAATCGAATATCGTAGGGACAGCAAGAAATACTACTTACTTATCAAACAGGCTCTACCAATCGACCTCTGATAGTAACAGCGGATACAGTTACAACGAATACCATATGTCTACAGCCGATGACACCACTCGCACATCATCGCCAACCGATTCCTTGGTGCTAGGTGCGCAATCGCACCTGCCGACCTTGTTGAACCCTGTAAGAGCCGTCGAAACTATGACAAGTATATTATGGAATTGCGTGAAGCTCAATAATACTATTGGCAAGTATAGTCGGCAAATTCAGCAAATCTGGTCCACGACAGAAGTCGAAAAAATGCGATTGTATGTGGACGATATCGCGCAACGTGAATATGAAGAGGCGGTTGGTATCGCGAGAAGAGAAAACGCACTTTTGGCAGGAAGGGATATGCAAGGCCGGTATAATGAAACTGTGTACTGGAACATCATTTCTAAAGGAGCTAAGTTGATCCACCCTGCGACCTTACACATGCCCAAGGGACCTCTGGGCGAGTTTACCATGGCCGAAAAGGTGGCGACAGAGGTGTTCATGCAAGAAGCAGGGTTCGGAACGAGTGTGGAGAATCAGCGGCGGTGTCGGAATCTTTGGAAGAAGCTGTCTGAGATGCGCAGGGTGGGTATCAGCAAGATTCTCCTATACCGAAGGAAAGAGTTTGACACTTACCGCAAAAGTTTTACCCAAGATGCTGAATCTTTGACCGAGGGCGTTATATCGTGGGAAAGTGTCTATGGCTCGTTATTAGAACAGCTGGAAAATCGAATGATGAAACAAGGTGATGAGGATTTCACCGGTCTATCAGATCTCCTGCAGTTCAAAATCCTCATGGAATAATGTGTTCAATAAGTGGAGCTCCAAGCAAGAAGCACCCACATTTGCATTTGCATATACACCGATAGTTGCATCAGATGGCCCTCCATAGTGCGTCTCCGACCAACGTATTGTGTTTGAGAATAGCGGAAGCAAGTCAGTCTTCACACCTACCTCTCCGAGAAACAACAGATCTCTGCCCGTCTGCCTTATTGTGACAGTGAATCAAGGAGACCTTCTCGGCGTCTTTGCTGGGGAAATCCGATTCTCCAACGACTTCGACAATCTTTACGGAATTCGATTGTAAACTAAATACTCCAGATCCTCTGAGAGGCGAGTCAGGAAATTCATCCTCTTCAGTCCTTTTACATGCGACTCGGTTGCAGCGTAGGCGGCATCTTGAAGCACTTTTCTAACGTTCTCCGTCTCATTGAAGGAAAATGCTTGTTCCTTCGATTGGTGTTCTAAAACGAAGCTCATAATCTTCGAAGGAACTGTGCTATCCTCCCAGACCGCAGGAAAGGTCAACTTCAACGTCAAATCGGTAGCACAACAAGTCAAATGCTGTCAAGCTCATTAGACTCCCGCTGAAGTTCTTTAAGAATGGCTCAAGAGCTATCTGGAGACAAGATTTGTCGAAGTGCATCCCAGATTGGTCGTTTACGTTCTCAGAGATACTCAAATTTGTGATGCCCTCATGTGCTGTGTTTGCAGTTCTATTCACAGGTAGATCAATTTGACTAGCTGGCCGAGCGACTGTTGACCGCCAATGATGGTAATTGATGGGGTCTTTTTGGTAAATGTTCACCTCGTAGAATTTATCGTGAACATTACATCGAAAATTTTTGTACTTACAATCATTAGAACTCGCTCTAGAACAGGAGAGAGGATTTTTCTAACGTATTTGCTTTCTGGAGGTTGGCTGTAATGAGATGGCCCTCACCGACTTCACAAAATCCCATGTACTCTTTGGGTCTGCCATCTTAGGAAAGAAGGTTTCTAGAAACACTTTGGCCTTTGCTTCATTTTCGGTAACCTCCTCTGATCCAACCTTTAGTGCAGGGATATTTGTGTAGGAGTCTCATGGATGTATGTATGTTGCTGCTTTCCAGAGGTGGCCTTCCTACGCTTTATCTAAGAACTCCTTCCAATGGGCAGCTTTAACCTTCTCGATGGTTCTGGTCCATACTCGTCGTTTTTGACGTATGTCGTTGAAGAGCGATGTGGTGATTGGGTGGTTACTGCCTAGAGTAGCACAGCTGCTCTGCTATCTTCTACGTGCGTGGTTCACTGTGACCTGTTGGGATTTGAGCTCTGGGGTGAACCATCGTTTTGAATAAGGTGATGGTCGCTGTAAAGGGACATGTTGATCAAGAACTGCTGTTGTTGCTTCAACTAATTGGATCTCCTTCCCTAATTTACAACTACACATATAGATTGATTTTCAAACCCTAACATGAAACACAATTAATCCATATACGGTTACTGTGTTAGTTTGAGTATGTTTTGAAGCTAAATAGTATAATACCATATAGAAAACTATTTTAGAAATGTGCATTGTTATAGTACTCAAAAATACGCTATTTCTCCATGATGTCATGCTCAACCCACCCAGCCCAAGGCAACAAACACGTCCTAAAATGATCTCCAAATACTCTCCCATGGAAAAGGCAAAATGGCAAGGCACATTAATCCACAAAAGCGTACAATGATCATCCATATGATTCGCAGTCGGAAATTCACATTGCAGCAAATTGCAGACACAGTAAAATGCTCTCGGCGTTCCGTCTCAAATATTGGCCGGAAGTTGCAGAAGTTTGGTATGGCGAGACCTGGTCTTGTTCGTGCTGGCCGACCACCTACCATTACCCCTCCGATGCTGACCGCACTTTGTGATCACCTCATGGATAACCTTGGGTTGTATATTGATCTGGGGGCTATTGAGATAGCGATCAATGTTAGAAAGTAGAGGTTGATTTCGTGGCTATAACCTCTTTAGTAACTGGGACTCTACATCACTGTGCTTAATATTGTGCTCCAGTAGGGATTGTCCTGTAGGTAAGCTTAATTCTATAGTGGCGACTGAGTAATCACGGTGGAGATTGTCACGGAGAGCTTGAAGGATCTCCCTCCCAGTAGTCTTATCTTCTAGTTTGTTGAGAAGGAGATCACCTTTAATCTGAGGATCCAAGATGAGGGTAGTGTAGTATATATCAGAAGTATCTATAAAGGTATAGTGCTTTTTGTACTTCTTCATAGCTTCTTTCACAGCCAATGATATATCTTTGTCAAGATCTAGGAATCTCTCCTTGCGCTTGGATGCCTTATCGAGTAAATCATGAAGTTTGTAGTAGATTGGGACGGCAAGACTAATTTAAGGTTTCTTTTTCGACACGAACAGAGTCAACTCGTTGAATTTCGAAAGGATATTGTGGATCTGCGAGAGCTGAGACCCATCCATTGTAGTAAAGAGAGGAAAATCTGTCTGGAGCTGTAGAAATTTATCGACCTGGCATCTTGCCTTCAAGGCATCGTCTAACATTCGAAAAGTAGAATTCTATCTTGTATCAACATTATATTCAATGTATTTGCTTAAGAGATTAATAATCTTACAGACCTCATTGCCTTTGTTAGGGACTTCAGTGTATCCAAAAAGCTAGGATATAAATCCTTGCTAAAGGTTTCTGAGACCTAACAGATAACTGTTCTCCTTCCTTGAAATAATCACATACAACATGCGCTTCCTCTATATTGCTAGATTTTAAAGTCTTAAGGATATCTTTGACAATGAGATTTAATATATGAGCTAAGCAACAGACGTAACTTTCTGAGCCACGGAATAGAGGGTTAACCCCAAGTTTTTGCCTCAGATTTTGAGATAGAATTGAAACCATCTTCTCATTATTACTAGCATTGTCTCCTGTTATTGTAGTCAACTTGGATTGAAGGTCAAGTTCTAGGGGTACATCCTCAACTGCTGCAGCCAGATTCTCTCCACTATGTGGTCCTAAAAGTTCTTTGAATTCAAGAACACTTTCTCGGTAATCAAAACTCTCTGTAAGCCAATAGCTAATTATCCTTAGGATTGGAAGGTGGTTTTTGCTTGTCCAAATATCAAGAGATAAAGCAATTGTTTTGCAAGATAACCTAAGTTCATCCTTCAATTAAGCGCGTTATATATTAAAGTCATCCATAAGCCGCTGTCGGAGGGTATACCGAGAAGTAAATGGAAGTGCGACTCCTAGGATATTAGAGAAGATCCGCTGAAATGCTAGAGATTCAATAGTTGTAAAGGGTTATTTATTAATAACAATCTAGCGAAGGATGTCTTTTTCCAGCTATTATTGGCAAGTAAGGGTTTCTTCCATTTTTGCCTATAAGCTAAGCAAAGTTCCCTTTGGACTCCTAATAGGTTTGGTGATTGAAGCACCCAGAGGATAAATAGAATGCTTTTGTAAGAGATGGAGCGTCATATTGCTAGTAGAACTCTGCCACTTTGAATCTATTATAATTTAGCTACAGCACTTGCTAGTATCTTTATCTACAATAGCACACTGAATATCTATGTCCATTAACTTCTGTTTCTTGTGCTTCTTTGTATACCACTCACGTAGAATCTCATGCTTGCTGAAGTAAGCCCAGAACCATGCTTCCTTATTAGCTATGGGTAGAAGATGTTGAGTATACGAAACAATCGAAGAATCTATAGCTGTTGAAGTTGTTAGATAGGATAATGACTGTGATGTAGATTCTGAAGGGTTAATCTCAACATCAGGGATACCAAGGAATGCATTGTATTCTAGCTGTGTGAGTGTAGATGGAATTAGCGATTCAGGAGGTGGACTTGAAAGTTGGTCTTTGGGTAATGCTTTGTTATTGTAACTGTCGTTCAATGCAAAATAGTTTTGACGTTTGCCCCGGGTTTCCATTGGATAGATGGATAGCAGGTAATGGAACTAAGCCAAGTAGAAGAAGCTATATAGCATAGTTGGTGAATATAATATCCTGAATGCAATTGATTCAATTCAACAGGCACTATCGTTGATTCGTACATGAAGGATAAGCTGGAGAAGAGAAAGGATTTTATAGTGCGAGCCTGTGAGGTGTCCTAAACCTTCGCTACCTTAACAAATGTGACATATCACAATCAACTATTCCTGTTTTGTATACGATGTGGCAGTGACCACCTTGCCGTAGGCTCTGAGGTCAAGAAGATCGAACCTATCCAAGCAATTGGTTACCAACCCATTTAGGAAATTTTTCTAGCAGCACGTGACTAATAGACGATATCCGCGGCGGACACGAATATTGCCGATATCTCCGGCATTCTAATCCATACTCGGTGTGGATCGAAGCGGGTATTATGGTATGGAAAACCAGCCTGGTATGGTTTAGCCCCTCTAGGCAGCAGGGGTCAAGAAACAATTAAAGTGAGTAAAAGTGTGCACTGTTTTTGCAAACAGCTGTACTGTAATGAATTTGGTGTATTCTGTTAAGTTCAAAGGGCAGGTCACGCCAGCATCCAAAAATCTATTTATCAACCTCTTATCATGGTCATCGAATATTGCTCTTCTTGTTTTGCAGAAGGACTCTTGTAGCTTTATGCTCATCCATCGTTCGACTTCCCTTTTCAACGCATTGGTCATTCTGCATTTATCCTCTTCTGGTAGCGTGGTGAAAAGCTTAGGCCACATCCGAAAGAGCGTTTAAAATCTCTGTGATTTTTTAAAGCCAGCTCAAGAACGCGTTTCCGGCCATTACCCCGCGTCATTATCGAGTCCCCAGCTGCTGGAGTGCTAGTCTTTCCAGCTACCTTTGCCTGGTGGAACTGATGAGACTGGTCTCCTTAACATGCGGCTTCTTTCGGTTCTAAAAGCAGAGACCATAGCCGTCGCAGAGGCAAAGGTGTTCCTGAGGGCAGACGACATTGTCGCCAGTAAAGATAACATGCCACAGATGCTCCCAAATACGACCAGAGATGTAGTCACTCTGTTCAGTGTGCAATAGCCAATCGCGCCACAAGACAAAGTGTAACTGTGGAATGGAGTTGATGCGCTCGCGTGAGACGGCAAACTGCGCACAGCAGGGTTGCGCAAGGACGTCTGGGATGGGTTGATTGGGGAAGATCTCCGCCCATGATCGAGCAAATACAATTTCCTCCTGCTTGGTGAGATCCTCCTTAAGCGTACCCGGGTGTATCCAGCTCGGGCAGCCAGGTGACCAGCTGCAACGAAGATTCATGTAACCCTTGCGCGTTACGTACGATAAGTTGAGGCGTCGCAGCATCGTAGCGGCATTAGATCCAAATACGCCTTCGTTGTGCCAGCTAAATTGGTGTGAATGGATGAAGGCGACAATATCTGGTAATCGGTCATAGTTATCGATAATGTACGAGAGGTAAACCATTGCTTCACGACCCTTGTTCATGGGTGGGTGGTGCTCTGCTGTAGGATCTTCAACCATATAGATGGCAGAGTCCCAGTCCGGCAGCTCCGTAGCAATCCACGATGTGTCTTCCTTCTGCATCTGTGGCGTAACTATAATCTTGGAATACTCGTCCCCTTGTGGTTTCGGCATGCCTGGGCGGTAAGATGGGCTAGCGGCGTAGAGTGTATTGCTCTTGTTGGTTATGATGCTATTGTTCCTAGTAATGAAGTCGCCCATACCTACTAGCTGAGAAAGAACAAGCCATTTCTTTGAAAAAGTGTGAAAATTCAAAATAAATAAGCAAGCGAAGACGAGGCTCAGAATAAGAGCAAATCGCCGGGGACGCATCAATTTCCCGAAGATCGATATCCACGTTCTACAGCTATTCATTTTCAGGGTTAGGTTAGCTGTAATACTTTTTGATGTTGGAGTACATGTGCAGTAAAACAACGGGTTTTTCCATTAGGGCACAAATTGGGGGTTCTCAAATAATGAATTATAGCATTGACGTAACTTAATAGGGGTGCACACCAATAAGGAGTTTACGAATATTTGTAGTCGAATACGTATAAATCGAAATTGAGTGCTTACATAATATTCGTACGAATTAACTAATAACTTATGTTAAAGTACTAAAGTTTATTCGTAATTATTCGTAATATTAGTATCGCTTGTCATCTCAAATACTACTATATCTATGCATGTCTCGCAGCAACACGAGATGCCTCATCGTTTCCGCACTTAATGAGTTTTTGTTGGTTTAACTACAGTCCGTATCACGAAGCATAGACGGTAGTAAGGCGTGAACACGAAGCGGCCTAATGAGCCTGACAATAGGAAGATATCTTGATTCCTAATATTGTGACTGATCCCCAAGAACGAGGTGTGTGTGTGTGTATATTTAACAGCCGTGGTTCGTGACTCGCACGCTTCCCAGCGATCCCTACTGGGACATAAGCCGCCGAAAGGTAAGCCTCGGGTTTCAGGTCCTATCATATTTATGTACAAATAAGAGACTCTTTGGCGCGTTTCCATAGCTGCCGTGGTCTTACAGGGAGGTCCACTTGGAGTGGGTTTTGGGTATTTGCCAGCTGCAATGATCCGCCTACACTCCATGACCTATTACTCCACCACTATCATAACTGAACAGTAAGTTTTGCAGAGAGGGAAAGAAAGAAGAGAAGAGAAATATAAAGGAAGAGTAGGGCTGTCTTAGCTAGGTGCTAAGGAGAGGTTGGCGAGGACAGATATCCTCAAAGAAGTGGGTCTCTGCTAGCCATGTGGCTAGCTTTTGTGCTCCTTTAGCAGTGCCTAAGAGAAAAGAGATGACCTCAGAAGGGGGCCCAGGAGGCCGAGGGGCTCGTCTCTTAGCTATATGACAGAAGAGGAAGTGCAGCGGTGCTTTTCGTGCTCCGCATCGGCAGAGAAGATAAGCATCATCATGGTTAAAACGTTCATGGTAGTCTGCAAAGTCTCCTAAAAAATCTCATTTACTACAGCGGGCTGTATCAGCCTGTGTACTCCATAAAGCATACTATGGCGCTGAAACCTGGTGGCCAGGACGTACTCGCTTTGGGCCTTCCCAGACTTCAAACCGAGTTGGAGAACATCTTGAGAAACTAACTGTTGGTATCACAGGGGTGTGCACACAGGTAAAGTGTAGGTTCGAGGTTGTTGTATTCAGTTGTGTCTTTTTCAAGTCTCCAAAGGAGCTCAGCTACCTAGGTGTAGGTAAACAAAGCCGAGCTAACCAAGCTAGGCTAACTACAGCTGCCGCCTCTAACTCACTTCCTTTTATCCCCCTTTTATCTCCTCCCATATTGAATACTTCGGGAATATGCTATTCCTACAATAAGTTCGGTCCAAGGATATATAGTCCATCCAAAGCTTGGGAAGGAGATTTCTAGTGCGACTGTAACCCTCTTCGCGACGCATGGAGGAGCTACGAAATTATCGGTTGGAGTAGCTGGGACTTTTCAATCCGACTCGCTTGAGAGATCTTCATGAAAAAATTGAGAGGGTTCGATCTGAAAATAGTACAAATTAATTACGAAAAAGGTACAACGTAATCGGACGCCCAGTGGGCCAGGGTTAGGATTAGGATTAACCCTAATTACAGACCAGAGAGTAGTAAACTGACTATTTATAGCATAGGGATAGGTAAGAGAGCATGCTTGGGGTTTGAGAGGAGTGCCGGAAAATAGGTTCCCTTTAAGGGCGTCATTTTTGGTGAAAACCATGGTATTACGTTTTAGTTTCTTTGGAATCTTTTGGTACTAGTCCGAACGGGGTAAGGCTCCGATAGGAGCGTAGAATTTGGGTGAGGAATAATTGACTCTGATTTGCACGTCCTCTAAAATCCCCTCTAGATACACATCCTGATCCTCTTTATATACAAAACGTAGTGGCGAAATATCACGGATTTACGGAATAAATAACAATACTGACTCCAGAATGTAGTGTGCTTTTTGGCGCTCTTGTTCTCGCGGATATGTTGCTTTTCCGAGGATTCTGTAATGACCGGGTTGAACGATAGTTCGAGTACGAGGGTATGGGTTACGGAACACTTGAAGAAGCGAATACTAAGGAATCCACACAGAGATACGAACTAAGATAGAGCAACAATAGCAGATGGTACGACTGAGGTTGTACGAGAATAATCGCTTGACCTTTGAGGATTCCCCGCGAAGATCTACGCTCTATATACACAAGCGCTCATGCACCGATCAGGCGCCGAGAGGGGTAAGGAATATCTAGATCACGCGCTTGCCGCCAAGGCCTTAGGCACTCGCCCGTATTCCTGCCTTAGATCGCTGGCATCAATCTTCCGCGCATTCAGATTGGCTCCTTGGATCTCGCGATGGAGTCAGCCTTTACAGATTCAAAGATTACTAAGTACATCCGGATTGAGATTAGCATATCAAATATCCAACAAAATATATTGGAACTCTAAGCCAGTTAGGAAATGGGAATAGGATAAGATTTGCGTATCATAAATGTGGATTACAGTGCTTCCTCGATACTCTCTTGCACGAGAGATGGCTTCCTGAGTTTCTATTAGTCGACAGAATTCGACTCGGAGGAAGTATAAACATGAGTTGTATACTGTACGGTCTTACAACTTACTCAGCATTTAGGAAACACACGATGGTATAGAAGTTCAATAGCCAAGTTTTTGTCCTGGTTCCCCACATATATTTCTCCCACTGTTTTATACTGTACCAAATGAGGTCCATACCCTTATACAGAACCTTTTCCAATTTCTATTTTGCTTTCTTTAGCCAGCTCGCGTATAAGAAATTCCACCATCTCGAAGTCCTGTTTTTCGGACGCACGAGATATGTCGTCAGGCCCCACACTCGCACCAAGATTTATGACAAGTTTAAGTAATTCAAAGGCACGGTATTCCACCGCGTAGAATATAATGTTTTTCCCATAGAAGTCCGTACTGTTCATGTCAACATCCTTAAAACTCAGCAGGAAGTTCTCTTCTTCACCCATGTATGTATTATAGTCCTTCACAAACCAATGTAATGGTGAATTGGTGTAATTCTTCAAGCCTAAACTAGGAAGCACAGGATGGTCTAGAAGTTCAACAGCCAAGTTTTTGTCCTGGTTCCCAACAAATATTTCTCCTACTATTTTATACCAAAGGGGGTCCATACCCGTATACAAAACCTTTTTTAATTTCTTTTCTGTCAGTTTCTGTGCTTCCCATAGTTCCTTATATTTTGCTTTTGGGAGTTTGGTCAGGAATTCAGGCCACATCTGGACTAGCATCTTAGCCACACGGGCACCGTCATCATCATCGTCATTGTTGTCAGCATCGGCATTGACATTAGCATTGACATCAGCGTTGGCATCGTTGTACTTTGTTAATACCAGCTCAAGAGCATATTTGTCGTCAGAACCGTTAATCAAATCCCCGTCTTTTGGTTCTATACAGCTTCCAGCTATCTTGCCCGGGTTCCCCAGATAATACCTGTCTAAACACAATATCGAATCCAGATACGGAGCATCTCCACCGTCATACAGACCATTTTCTGTTGATAAGAAACAGTACAAAGCGTTATTGCCCATATTGTCTTTGGCGTATATGTTGCTTCCTCTACTATGAAACAGATCCAAGTACTCATATTGCCCAGTTTTTATGGCAATATGTTCCGCAGTCTCCTTTTTCTTATTGGTATAGTTAAGAAAGCCTCCATGTTTCTCTTTGTAAGGTTCCTGGCTCGCCACATCGAGCAAAATCATCGCCATGTAGTAGGGTGTACTGTCAAACATAATGTCATGGATATTATGCGTGTTACGTAACATCCATTGCAATATTGTATTTTCAGTTTCCTTTTCTCTCCACCCAAGGCAGTCATTTGGCCAACGATAAACGTAGTGTCGGAATAAGTCTACCCCCCCATCCGTGATAGCATTTTGCACCCGATCAATAGAGAATTGGTCAAGGACGAAAGCGCAATCGCGAAATTCTCCGGCATATTTTTCAATTGTTTCAACAACATTCTGAAGTTTCTTGTCTCTGGCAAGTTGAAGTGCAGATTTTCCCTCGCGATTAGTTAGTATTGCCGATAACACCACTCGTCTTTTATCAATTGGATGGGGCGCTGAAAGCAGTTTTTCAATGATTTCCTTTTTGCCCAGGAGAATTGCATGATGAAGAGCTGTAATACCATCGAAGTTTAGTGCATCCTCGAAGCCTTCTAATACCTCAGCATATTTACAATCATTACTCTCTACCGCAAAATGAAGTGGCGTATGTCCGCCCTTCGACCAGTTATGTGTGTGCGCGCCTGCACCAAAGCAGTCGCCGTGGGCCATTTTGGTCAGGTAGTATTTTACCGACTGGTTCCATTCTACCGTTACTCCTTTTGACATCAGCAACGTAAGCATTGTATAGCCATCGGCATTCCTCCATGATCCTGGTAGAGTCCAAATATTTCGCAAGATTCCCAATATGCCATCTCCTTTATCATATCCATCTTTTGATGTGTCTGCGACTGCCTTTTTTGGCTCGGGTAAAACTAGTGAGTTAGGTACTACTCGTGCATGTCCATTCCGTAGTACTCTGGCAGCCTCAATGAGATCTTCTTGTTTGATATAAGACATATTTTCCTAAGCTTGATAAGTAATGTGATTAGTGTGGGTAGAATTTACTCTTCCATCTGAGTAGTAATTTATAATAAGGCGGTTCAGCATCGAACTGATTCAAATATAGATTAATTATGTGGTGGCGTTACGTAAGATCGATCGATTTATGAGAGCACAGAGAGTTGATTCTTGTTATGAGCTGACCTCATATTGATGTGGTTCGGACGAAGCCCTCACTGTAGAATCTGTATCGATTTCATTCGCTTCTGCACCCAGGACGCTGGAGCGCAGCCTGACAGCTCGAAGTCATTCCCAAATGTCGAAGGTTCATTCCGATTACTGATCTGCCCCTTAACAGGACTTCATGTCTTGGCACTCATGTGGTGTCTATGGATATCCGGCGCCGAACCCAGCCCAGCATGAGCGTTCCCCTTTTTTATATAAACTCGTACAACAAAATCCTGTTGTCTAACTTTCTTTCCTTATGTTGTGTTTTCTGTTTGATCCATGTCCATATAGTGAATATTAGGCGGGACTAACCTGTAACAATTCTACTGGTTGGGCGTAAAGCCTCGTTTGTAATCTGGGTTATTTGACAGGTTGTACGTAACGACCTCTAGATTGGCTGTATATTTCAGGTAATCTTGGCTAAGGTATAATTAGAGTTCTGGTACCCCGTATGTGGGTGATAAGTGATAAATAGCTCACTCCGCCCGATATCAGACCACAATCTTATCAATCCAATGAAAACATGCCTAAGTCTAATATTAGGGCAGAATTGGTCCAAGCCGCCGAAGACTTATTTAAAAACGGATGAACTGAATAAGCTTAATGATGATTGGCTTATGCTTAGCAAGTGGATAAAATGTATAAAACTTATAGGCCTTGAGACACATAACTGGTCAGATAAGGGAAATGCCGAGCTAGTAAAATTATTAGCATGCCGTGATAAAGCGAACTTCGAGGGCAATACAGCATTGTATCTAGCGATAGAAAAGGGCAATCAGGATATCATATCCTCTATACTTTCTAGACCAGAATACAAGGAAGCAGCGCTAAGTGCAATATCCACTAACCGCAGAGGGGAATCTGCACTTCAACATGCCAGAACAAAGTCGTCATTGGAGAATGTTGTTGAAACAATTGAGGATTGTCTCAGAAAGACGGCTGGACTCACCTTCATCGTAAATCCGCACAATATTACATGTACTGACTCTAGCAAATTCGACATTGAGCTAGTGAAAGGCGCTATCAAGGCTAAGGATGCGGACTTATTCCAACACTACATTTCTCTCAATGGATGGCCAGAGTTACTACTCAGATGGCAAGACCCTGACACCCACAATACAATATTGCAATGGATGTTGGAATTTAATTTTCTCATTAACAATGACACTGTCTATGTGTAAAGAATATGATCACAAGGTCACGTGATGACTAGTGATTCCGAGGCTAATTATAGTCTCAACCCCTGAGTTGTATGTAACTAGAGAGACAAGCAATACACAGAGATTCAACGCATCGAATCATCTCCTTATTAATACTGACAAGCAACTGATCATTGATCACTATTACTGAACGATATCAATCCTCTGAGTCTATACAATCCATCCACCGATTTCTTTACACTATGAATCCGATAGTGACACGAATTTTAACATAAACTCTGACGTTGTCACGGCTACACACTACTACATGGCGAGGATTCTCCTCGACTTTGCGGATCAAATAAACAATTTCAAAGGCTTTATCAACCATCCTAATAAGGATATGGAGACGGCGGAACACATAGCCATAAGAACTGATCAGATGTTTTATCTAGACCTCTTTCATAGTAGAGGAAGCGATATATACGCTAGGGATAAGGATGGCTATAACGCTCTCTATCGTGTTTTAACAGTAAAAACGCTACGTGACATCACTCAGGTGGATTCAATATTATGTCTAGACAAATATTATTCGAATAATCCAGGAAAGATAGCTGGAAGGATTAGTAACCCAAATCATAGGGATCTGATAGGGACCAAGGGCAATGACGGGAAATGCGCTCTTCAGCTGGCCTTAGAAAATCGCGAGGATGCCAAACAGCTGGTCCAGGTGTGGCCACAACTTCTCACCACGCTATCAAAAGAGGATAAAGTCATGTTGTATGAGGAGTGCAAATCGCAACTAAACCAATGGAAGATTGTGGAAACAAAACAAACCTTCTGCAAAATAAGGAGGGAAATATTTGGTACCCACTACGAGCTAGTGATTGAATATGCCTTCCACCTCATTGTTTTCATCTTGAAGCTCTTTTCAGGTGAACAAAAGGACCTAAATTCACCGGTTCCCGTTTCAGCGGGGTTATGCATTACAAATCATTAGATAAGTTAGAAGAGAACAAGAACCACGACGAGGATCAAGGATTAGCTGTCATGGTGCATTAAACAAAATAGTATGTCAACCCTAAGCCTGCCATAACGAATCGCAGTCAATAACCAGCAGATCTGACAGACTTGTTACAGTGTATATCAATACCGTCCAGCATGGTGGGGAAAGTGTGGATATTCCAGCCGCAACAGCAGAAGGAGAAGATTTTAGTACATTGCTATTCCATACCCTACCTTGTGTGCTTGCCTGCAGTGATCCCTCTCGAACGTATCTATACATATCCCTCGTACAGTTGTTTGCAAAAACGGTGCACGCTTTTACTCATTTCAATTATTTGACATGTTTCACCCTAAACTTGATCAGGGAAAGTGCCGGATTAAGGATATTCCCTACGTTTCATCTGACTGCATTTTACTGTAAGATAACATGACGTCACTCGAAACCCCAATACGTTGTAAAAATTGATCGACTTGATAATGGAACTTTCCGTGCGAAACTACTGGTATAAGGGTTTCTGGCGGAGCCTGTCCACAACATCCTGGCTTCACATTCCTATCTTGCTATCTTACATTTATAATACAGGTACTACTACGTTAGTAGTCCGAAAATCCAGCTTTATCAAGGACGCGACGGTGCCAAGCTAGATCAATTCATTGCTATGTCTAATCTAGGTGATATTTAACGAGAAAACAAAACATGAAGAAGGGAATACAGGAGTAAGTGCGTGATTCCGCAGCGGTGTTGATATATGTACGAGATCACGTGTAAGGTTCTGAGGCATCAATCAGGCATCCACAGATTGAGCTGCCACAGGTTGTATAACATGAAACATACATAAAGTGGGTAAACTTGATTTGTAAGCTCAATCTTGTGTCAATAAGTGCATTTATATCTTGAAACTTCCTTATGACCAATGCCGTACGATTCTCCATCCCGTCCTAAATACGAATAGTTCATTAGTTCATCTTGATTTCCCAGGATAGTGTACAGTCACGTGATATTTTAGCTCGATAGCTGTAACCCTAACCCTAACACAACACCTTGGTTCAAGTAGTACTAGATTCTGCCTAGCGTCATGTTTGGGAAATGTGACAAGATGTGACAAGATAACCTGCCTGTTGGGTTTAGCGTTTAGACTCATCAGTCATACTCTGTAGATTGCAAGTTACTATGTAGTACAGTATTACCCACCCCCACTTCTCGACTCTTGAAGGCCCCCGCTCCAACAACGACGACAACGACAACGACAACGACAACGACAACGACAACGACAAGGCCCACGTAACATATCCACCATCCTTAAGTTTTAGAAAATGAACGTTGTGACAGCTTTTATTGGCGGGGGTCTTCATGAAATTGTCGCTGATGGGATACAAACACCAGTACTCCGCCAGCAGATTTTAGGTAGTGATATCAAGCCATAATTGTGTTTGACATGAAGTTAATTCGCCTGATACACTGTACTATATTAGTGACCAAAAGAATGATGAAGTTCTGATTTTCAAGAACTATGACACCGAGTCGGGTGTCACCAGATGTAAGCCTCGTTTTATTTTGCTGTATAGCCTCATGTGGATTGCTGATACTCTACCAGGCGCTCCTCATTCAGCATTCACCCCCGTTGACTACCCTGGAGGTCCTTTTAGAAGGCAGAGCGTGGAAGTTAGAGCCCTTGTGTTTACAAAGCAGCCTATCCACTAACCTGAGCAATGCGGATAACCATAATATGTAGTCAAGGATGTCGCCGTTGTTAGCCAGGCCAATTTTCAATAGTATCGAAAGCCTTAAATTACAAGTATTGGCTAGTGGTAAATTTTAAAGCAAATAAATACCACTAACCTAGTCGGGCCTGTATAATAACGTATTGAACCCCCGATTATATAGTCCCCGCCCTAACATCGAAGTTTCTAATAGCGTGACCTACTTTTAGCGTAGATCATCGTTCAATCTAGATGGAGTGGGTCGATGTAACTCTGTGGCCTATTTTCGATGGGGTGGCGGCATGGCGGGGCTCAGGGTAATTAAGCATTTGAAGTCGGAGTTTATCTTAACTAGTTGAAAACCCACAATATTACTATACGACCAAAAACGATACCCCGTTAATGGGTGGTTAATATTAGTGGTAATATAAGGCTTGTCACTAGTTCGAACCGCTAAACGCCAAGCCGGCTGACCGGCCTACTAGGGGCATTGTAAATACGTATTAGAAGCCCATTTTTATATTACTATACTAATTCACACCCAACTTTTTACATACGCAAATCTTACACTACTGAGTCATTATCTGGTGCTAAAACCAAATATACTAAATTAAGAAATTCAAGACTCGGGTGGAGAGGCTTCTTGGGACTTCACCCATAGATGACCCTGTCCTGTTCGACCCAGAAATCGAGCCGACAAACAATCTGAGGAGGTACGAGACGGACAGACTGGGCGAGCTGAAATTGGAACCTCTGTAGGAGGTTGGATTGGTCGGATCGAAGAAGGAGGATGTCTCAAAGCCTTGCGAGTAGATAGAGGTCGGTGTTGAGACGAGGCTAAAAAGTAAGTAGGTGGTTAAGCGTGGTTCAACCGGCTATATAGGGGGTATCGAGATGGTTCCCAATTTAGTGCTGGTATAAACAAACGAAAGTTACATGGTGTAACATCTACTTCTGTCACGACAAGGATGTTGATTTGTTGTATGTTGCTAGTAATAATTGTCCTAATTCTCAGCCTTTCTACCCTTGTTTGCAGAGCTGGCCATCATTCTCGTGCAACTGAGCCAGAAACGATTGGCAATGGTCGCTTTGAACCTCCCACTATTAATGAATCGACTGATTGCAATTGTTGTCTGCCGCATTAATGCTTTACTTCTCATGCAAGTCGTAATCACCGGCCGTGGCTGCAGCTATCCTGGGAATCAATTGGCTCATGATAATTGTCAATTATCCCTCTCTTTATACCTCACGGCGAAAGACAGAAACATGGGTCTAGCCTAATTTATATGGGATATTATATTTATGTATGAAACGAAGCTCTTACATAACGCAGGGCCAATTCTACACGAAAATTAAGTTACACTTTTGTAATTACAAAATAACCTGGGCCCCCTTTTATTAGATTTAACGGATGGCACCTCCAGCGTTCCAAACCCTAGTTCGCTGAGATCACTTGGGAATGGATCATTTAATTAAGCGACCAATGAATACAGCTTAGCAGCCTTAGCTAGATAGTCGTATGTAGATGCGAGTTCCCAGATCAGACACGTCCAAGACCTCGTTTGTCTTGGTTCACTGTCATGTAGTTATTCCGGATAACAGCAATTGAGCAAGGATTGTTGTACCCCAACATCCAAACATGTTTTCTGCTTGCATACAAGTATTTTGTTTAATCTATCTTCATCTACTGGCGCAGCATCTAGCCTGATTCATTCGGTGCTTATTCCCAAACTGTATACAGACTATCCTTCTTACTGCCAAGCTAGTTGATAGCGTTTGTTATGGTTGCATACTAGAGCCGTATAGGGAGGAGTCATACAATGATCTCTGTCCAAGCACACGAAAAGCGCCCAGTTTATTTTGGGCTGGGAGAAAGGGTCTGAGCCTGAGATAAGGAGTTGGCGCTACTGTAGTACTGTTGCAGCGTGGCTTAAAGCGCCGACCTCATTTCCCTTCTTTAACATGTGTCTCGCTCCTCGGGTGAATTAGAAAGCAGGACCAAATGGCAAAGAGTCAGATTTTGTCAGTCTTGCTTCAAAGGGTCCCCGCTAGATTCGTCCAGTATAGTTTGCTACCACCTCATCATCCCTATCCCGAGGCACTTTCAGCAGCCTGGACGCCCCCATGACAGAGGTAGGCCCTTTTGTCCCAGAAGAGGTCAACTTTGCGCCCAATGACCCAGAGTACCCTAAGAACTGGCCCGATAGTCGCAAATTCTTCATCGTGTTGCTCGTCAGTGGGTTCGGATTTTTGACGCCAGCAACCTCATCGATGGTGGCTCCTGCTCTGGACCAAATCGCCACTGATCTTCACATTACTAATTCAGCCGAATCCCAGCTAATCCTCTCAATATTCCTACTGGGACTGGGTGTTGGGCCTTTGTTGCTTGGACCACTAAGCGAAATCTACGGCAGAGCTCCAGTTATCCGGTGGGGAAACCTGTTTTACCTGGTCTTCAACACCGCTGGGGGTTTTGCACGAACAAACTCAGAAATGCTGATCTTCCGACTTCTCGCAGGGGTCGGCGGAAGTGCCCCTCTAGTCGTAAGTACCAAACCCTTCCTGGGCTCGACATAGGGGGCCTAATAATGTCTTCCCGTACAGGTAGGATCTGGGGTCATCAGTGACTGCTACCATCCGGAGCAGCGTGGCTTTGCTGTTTCGATCTACAACATCGTCCCGCTGCTCGGGCCCGCCTTAGGTCCGATAGCTGGAGCATTCATCACCCAATCCATCTCATGGCGATGGGTATTCTTCATTGTCTCCCTAGCTGATGTAACCCTACAACTGATGGCTGCGGTTGTCTTACGTGAGACGTACCCCCCAGTACTCCTGGAGCATCGTAAAAGCCTCCTGTTCGAATCGACGGGTAATCCTAACTTACGAACTCCATACGACAACGAACGGAGCCGTGATTTGCGAACGGTGCTTCGACAGTCTCTTTTCCGATGCCTGCAGCTGCTGGTAACCCAGCCCATTCTACAGGTCCTCGCTATCTATCTTGCGTACGTCTACGGGTTGATTTATCTGGTCTTCTCCACATTCCCATCGGTATGGGAGACGCAGTATCACCAATCTAGCACTATCGGCTCGTTGAACTACATCTCCCTTGGGCTGGGATATCTGAGTGGGTCCTTGATATGCGCGGTGTTTGTGGACCGCATATACGGAGAGTTAAAGGCTAGAAACGACGGGAGGACCGAGCCGGAGTACCGCGTCCCGATTATGGCGGCAGCTTCGCTCCTCGTCCCCGTAGGTATCGTTCTATACGGGTGGAGCGCTGGAAAATCACTCTTCTGGCTTATCACAGACATTGGTGGGTTCATTTTCTCCTGCGGCATTATCATGATCATGCAGTCTGTGAACAATTATGTCTTAGATGCCTACCCATTGTACGCTGCAAGTGCAATTGGCGCAGTCACCGTGGTTAGGAATATCCCAGGCGTTGTATTTCCACTTTTTGCCCCCTATTTATACGACGCCGTAGGATTTGGATGGGGCGGTAGCCTTCTGGCTCTTGTTGCTGTTTGCATCGGATTCCCGGCCCCCGTCATTATATGGATATATGGGAGGAGGCTGCGGATCTCCAGTCAATTTGCCTCGAATAATGAACGGGAGTAACACAAAGGCGTGTATTTCCATTACCATGGATATGTATTTTTCGGCTTCTTGTTCATCATACTTACCGGCTCCATGAATCTCCAGCTTGATACTATTGTGTATAATCTCCAGTCATCCGCTTCATTCCAACTCCCGAGTGACCACGCAACACTTCCTAATTGGACAGCGGTTAATAATGGCTAATGGAAAATAAAAAATGGCCAAGTGTCGGTTGCAGTTCTGTCCATTTCGGGGTTCCTGACGGGTTCCCCCCCCCCTCCATGGAGAAACAAAGGAGAAATCTGTGTGTCACACCATAGATCTCAGAATTATCTTACCTGTATATAAGTTGACCGGCCCTTCCTCCTTCTGCAACTTGATAGCTTTTCATTTACACCCATTCGACTTGTTGAATCTCTGTTCTCTCCGAGGTATCCTTTATATGATGAATCAAATGGGAAGCGATCGCCATTTTACCAATGCCAGGAATGACTTGGCGGACCTGATTTCAAGCCCGCTGCGCTCAGGTTTTGCACACCCTCTTTCACGATCCTGGCATCGTGAGCGGGAAATAACCAAGGTATCAATGATATGGCCAAATATCCTCGCTAGCATCACATCACCGCCTTGCTAATACATAGGGGAATTGCTAGTCCATGTTCATACTCCCCGTCTTTGTCTCCGATATCGACGACGAAGAGAGTCCAATACCTCTTCTTACAGACATTCCCCGCCTAGGTCTTTCCAAGCTCATTCCATATCTCCAAAAATTGGTAAATCTAGGTCTCCGCTCCGTTATTCTCTTCGGGGTCTTAGGCGACAAGTTGAACCCTCCCTGTAAAGATGCCACCGGCACCGCAGCAGACGATCCCAAAGGGCCTGTGATCAGAGCCATCCGCTCTATTGGGGCTCACTTTCCCTCCCTCTTCATTATAACAGATGTCTGTCTCTGTGAATACACCAACCACGGGCACTGTGGAATCTTCTCCAGCGCTCATGGCGATGATAAAGTAAGCACGGATAACAATGCATCCGTGACCCGGATTGCGGATATCGCACTCGCATACGCACAAGCGGGGGCACATTGTGTCGCACCCTCAGATATGAACGATGGCCGAATCCACGCTGTTAAGAGCAAGCTCATTGCTGCTGGGCTCGGAGAGCGTGTTTTGCTCATGGCATACTCGGCTAAATTCAAGAGCTGTCTGTATGGACCGTTCCGCACGGCCGCTGGCTCCACGCCTTCATATGGTGATCGTGCGACGTACCAGCTTCCCTGCCATGGTGGGGGTCTTGCTCGTCGTGCGCTTGTCCGGGATATCAACGAAGGGGCGGATGTGATTATGGTCAAGCCAGCGGGAAGCTGTTTGGATGTTGTGTTTCAAGCCAAAGAAATTGGCAAGGGAATACCGGTGGCTGCATATCAGGTTAGTGGTGAGTATGCAATGATTAGGGCTGGGGCGGAGGCTGGTGTTTTTGATTTGAAAACTGCCGCCTTCGAGTCTGTGGAGATGATCCTGAGGGCCGGTGCCAACATAATTATCAGTTACTTTACTCCAGCATTTTTGGGCTGGTTAGAGGCATGAGGCCATCCTAGTTACTCGAATAGTTTGCCATTTATCTCTCCGAAATGCATTCCATCTTCATTAAAGGTTCAAAGTTCACGTCCTCAATTTGCAATCGCCACGGGCCAACTCGGTGCCGCTTAACCATATAGACGAACACAAATCACCCACTCTTCCCAATCTAATTTAGGATTAGTTAGGCTAGATGCTGCGCCAGTAGATGAAGATAGATTAAACAAAATACTTGTATGCAAGCAGAAAACATGTTTGGATGTTGGGGTACAACAATCCTTGCTCGATTGCTGTTATCTGGAATAACTACATGACAGTGAACCAAGACAAACGAGGTCTTGGACGTGTCTGATCTGGGAACTCGCATCTACATACGACTATCTAGCTAAGGCTGCTAAGCTGTATTCATTGGTCGCTTAATTAAATGATCCATTCCCAAGTGATCTCAGCGAACTAGGGTTTGGAACGCTGGAGGTGCCATCCGTTAAATCTAATAAAAGGGGGCCCGGGTTATTTTGTAATTACAAAAGTGTAACTTAATTTTCGTGTAGAATTGGCCCTGCGTTATGTAAAAGCTTCGTTTCATACATAAATATAATATCCCATATAAATTAGGCTAGACCCATGTTTCTGTCTTTCGCCGTGAGATATAAAGAGAGGGATAATTGACAATTATCATGAGCCAATTGATTCCCAGGATAGCTGCAGCCACGGCCGGTGATTACAACTTGCATGAGAAGTAAAGCATTAATGCGGCAGACAACAATTGCAATCGGTCGATTCATTAATAGTGGGAGGTTCAAAGCGACCATTGCCAATCGTTTCTGGCTCAGTTGCACGAGAATGATGGCCGGCTCCGCAAACAAGGGTAGAAAGGCTGAGAATTAGGACAATTGTTACTAGCAACATACAACAAATCAACATCCTTGTCGTAACAGAAGTAGATGTTACACCACGTAACTTTCGTTTGTTTATACCAGCACTAAATTGGGAACCATCTCGATACCCCCCATATAGCCAGTTGAACCACGCTTAACCACCTACTTACTTTTCAGCCTCGTCTCAACACCGACCTCTATCTACTCGCAAGGCTTTGAGACATCCTCCTTCTTCGATCCGACCAATCCAACCTCCCACAGAGGTTCCAATTTCAGCTCGCCCAGTCTGTCCGTCTCGTACCTCCTCAGATTGTTTGTCGGCTCGATTTCTGGGTCGAACAGGACAGGGTCATCTACGGGTGAAGTCCCAAGAAGCCTCTCCACCCGAGTCTTGAATTTCTTAATTTAGTATATTTGGTTTTAGCACCAGATAATGACTCAGTAGTGTAAGATTTGCGTATGTAAAAAGTTGGGTGTGAATTAGTATAGTAATACAAAAATGGGCTTCTAATACATATTTACAACGCCCCTAGTAGGCCGGTCAGCCGGCTTAGCGTTTAGCGGTTCGAACTAGTGACAAGCCTTATATTACCACTAATATTAACCACCCATTAACGGGGTATCGTTTTTGGTCGTATAGTAATATTGTGGGTTTTTAACTAGTTAAGATAAACTCCGACTTCAAATGCTTAATTACCCTGAGCCCCGCCATGCCACCACCCCATCGAAAATAGGCCACAGAGTTACATCGACCCACTCCATCTAGATTGAACGATGATCTACACTAAAAGTAGGTCACGCTATTAGAAACTTCGATGTTAGGGCGGGGACTATATAATCGGGGGTTCAATACGTTATTACACAGGCCCGACTAGGTTAGTGGTATTTATTTGCTTTAAAATTTACCACTAGCCAATACTTGTAATTTAAGGCTTTCGATACTATTGAAAATTGGCCTAGCTAACAACGGCGACATCCTTAACTACATATTATGGTTATCCGCATTGCTCAGGTTAGTGGATAGGCTGCTTTGTAAACACAAGGGCTCTAACTTCCACGCTCTGCCTTCTAAAAGGACCTCCAGGGTAGTCAACGGGGGTGAATGCCGAATGAGGAGCGCCTAGTAGAGTATCAGCAATCCACATGAGGCTATACAGCAAAATAAAACGAGGCTTACATCTGGTGACACCCGACTCGGTGTCATAGTTCTTGAAAATCAGAACTTCATCATTCTTTTGGTCACTAATATAGTACCACCGCATCTCCGGATTGTATAGAAGATGTTGTGTGCAAGCTGTGAACTGGGGTTTGATGTGATCAGTTTCAATAAGATCTGACTCCTTCACCGTTCTTCCATCACAGACGGCTAAAGGGCAATCGTCGATAGGGCCGTTGAGTGGGCGCCATAAGCTTCTCACTGGGTTAGTTATCATATTGTAGATGCGTGTTATAGATAGAGAGATATTGAGATAAAACAAAGATGTGTGTTTCCTTACTTAATGATTCGGACGCGACCTCGCAAAAGCTCATCTACCCTGTGCGGGAAATGAAGTTGAACTCTGCGTTCTGCACCGAGAGGAGATTGATCTGTCCAATAATTAAACGTGATTCTCACAATTACAGGTTCGTGATTTTCATACCAACGTGGACTCGTGCTGTAGGACCAACGCGACGCAGAGCATCGGTGTAATCAATCAAACGACCCGGCTTCTCGTCCATGTCCATCTGCCTCGTCTTTGGCGATATTCTTCATTAGCCGCTTATAAGAGATTAAAGGGTAATTAAGTGCTCACTCTCCAGTCAAATATGAACACTTCGTCTGCTCCATCGACAAGTTTCTTTACCAGGTCAACGCACTCAGGGAGGTAGACCTGCTCAATGTTTGCGCTGTCCTTGAACTGTGCAGGACTTAGAACAGAGTGATGTTTTGCGGTTATAAAACCGTGTATATCTAGACTGAAGTTCTGCTCCTGCCCACGGAGATCGAAGATTACCTGCTCTTCGCCCTTTTCAAAGACAAGGTTGTGCCTGCGCTGGTCTGGGGCGGTGTCGGGAATCGCAAGGAAGGTCTGAAACGGACGTTCTTTCTCGTAGAGAGGAGACCATTTCAGGTACTCAAAACGTGCTTTGGTATTCCTAGATGAAGGTTCCATTGCTAAGTTGTAACAAGGGAAAATTTAGATGCTAGTGGTAGATAGTAGTGTTGGGAAGCCTTCGTGGGGAGGGGAAGAGAGATGGGAACAAAACCTCAGTTATTTGGCTCACACACGTAGAAATCAACGATGAAGGTACGAACTGCAAGTGCACTGCAGTGGCTCAAGATAGTATGGACACTACACATCAGGAGACCATTGCATGTCATCCACTTGACAATCATTGGTGCCTCACACCCCTGCAGCAAGCTACTTGAATTACATCTTCTAGTCACGGATTGATTCACGCAGTCCAGTTGATTGCAAAACAGTGCAACCATGCATACTCTTTCATGCTTTCTTAGTTGATCCGTTACAGCAGTCCGTAATAGCCAAATATTCTACTTTTTGCCAAATAATTTTAGTTTGAAATTGAGCCATCAACATGTTCTGTAAAGAGTGCAGAGTTATGTACCGTTTTTACAATCAACTGTATTATCTGGCACAGGCTGCCATACATAATATAGTGCAAGTGGCACGGACCTGGGTCCATCTCGTTGTTCGTAATACAGAGGGGCGTCGAGATACGTTAGGATTGGTTGAACTCCTCTAACATTGCCTGCAAAGGCTTCTGATCTTTAAACCATGGAGAGATTTATCATATTGTTTTGGCTCGTGGCAATACTGTGGCCATTCATCTTTAATGGATTGAGACTGGATTCGTCCCCGTCGTATACCGGCCAAACAGTGAATCAAATCAGTGCATTCTTCACGTCCAGAGTTTTCATTTGAGGACGCCGACTTGATGTGGTGGTTTGATTGATGTGGAGCTCGGATCAGGCCAATTTCACAACCAACTACGGTTTATATTGAGGGGTTTTATCATGCAGTATATGTAGTAAAGCATGTGGCACTGTGCATGCGGCGCAGGTTGCGACCACGTCAGTTGCGTTGCCTAAATACACATGTCTGCGCATGCGGCGTTTGTAAGCGGACATGCAAGAAAGGCTTGCTCGGTGTATATATAATGTCCCAATTAACGAGGGCGCAATAATCTCCACTCAGCAAGCACTCAGGACACTAGCTTACTGGTCTGGTCTTCAAGTCCACGAATCACGATAATCTACCCGAATATGCCCTATAGTCCGACCGCTTCAACCGTGATAGTACCCACCATGAGCCTGCAGGGACAAGGTCATATATATCCATTCAAAAAGGCTGTTGCTACCTTCTAGCTAGTCCTCCACAGGCAACGATCTTCCATGTGTGAAGGCCATTTCTCCTTCATCTTGATTCAACATTGAACATATTCGCGTGCACTATGGAGTGGCGTTTAATGGCGGAATTCTCATTTAATGGAGAAAAAACCAATGGATAATTCGTCCGAGAATGTGTAATTAATCACAAAACCACCAGCGATGTGAGCTGCACTACGCCGCGTGGGAGCGATCGCTGTAAATCAGTGTTTGATTATGCTTGTTATTCAAGGGTCAGAATGGCAATTACAGGCTTGTGAAAGATATACTAGAAATAGCCTCCTATGAATAACATCACAGGGATCTCTGGTTTTTATGATTTCTTGTAAGACTTTTTAGTATTCTAGGATGTCCCTGTAACCAGGTATGAAGTTTACGGGAAATACATCACAGGTATCGCAGAGAACGATCCACCCAAGGGACCGCAGAGCCCGAGACTCACAGGACAAGGATACAAATCCAGTATACCCGGGCACAGTACATTGTACCCAGGCTTACAGTATAATGTATACGAGGTCATGTTTCCGGATGCCCTCAGATAGAAGCCTAGCAAGGCTATACACTGCATGCATATACTATAACTATAGTCTTATTATTATTCCTATCGACGTAGCCTGGTTGTATTTTCAGGGAAACCTGCTAAATGACGGTGTTACATCCTGTAAGAGACGAGGAAAACTCAGTAACACTTTGTCTATGTTTGACGCTAATGTATATTGGTTCTTTCAGCCGGGATATCTCGTACTTCCAGCCTTCTTCTCGCCGTCCCCACTGGAGTATGGAATAACGCAATGAATTCGGGAATCTAGGAGAGAGACTTGCCCGCTGTAGCTACCGGCGCAGACATGCATAGGCTTCTGTTTTGGTATTTGTTTTTAACATGCCCTCAGTATTCAGTTTACGCACATGAGTTTTGGGAATCTGAACGTAATAAAAGTTGCGGCTTCCAGTCAGCCTGATTTTGTTATTTAAAGACAGGATATATGCTTACCGACTTTGTCTTTGGTAGAGCTTTTACTCTGTGGAAATCGTTTGTAGATGCCCGGAATAATTGCCTAGCTAGAATCTCAGCTGTATATTTCCAAAGATGTTTACTCGCATTATGTCCATGTCCTCTATCAAAGGCCGTCTAGGTCTACCATGCCTTTCTACGGTGTCCTATTCGACCGGTATACCGAGTTTCAAGAAAGGTAAAAGATTCACAACACCGGGATCATAGAATACAGGAGAGCTGATAGATCTTCAGACTATACGCGTCAAGCAGCCATCGCCCAGAACGAGATTTTCCATGGAACAAACATATTTGATTATCGTCAAGCCTACAGATTGGCACTCGACGCAAAGAAAAAGGACAAAACGTACCGTCATTTCAACAATATCAATCGCTTGGCGGACGAATTCCCCCGGGCTCACACTTCTTCCCCCAAGGACAGAGTCACAGTCTGGTGCTCCAACGACTATCTAGGAATGAGTCGAAATCCTGTCGTCCTCGACCGGATGACGAAAACCCTCTCTAAATATGGAGCCGGTGCAGGGGGCACCCGCAATATCTCTGGCCACAATCAGCATGCTGTTGACCTGGAGCGGATTTGTGCAAGGCTCCATAAGAAGGAGGCAGGCTTGGTATTCTCCTCCTGTTATGTGGCTAATGATGCTACACTGTCTACGTTGGGAGCCAAGCTCCCCAACTGTACCATTTTATCGGATAGTATGAACCACGCGTCGATGATCCATGGGATTCGGAACTCGCGAGCGAACAAAATCATCTATGCCCACAATGACATGGAGGATCTGGAAAGAAAGCTAGCCAGTCTTCCACTAGAGGACCCGAAGATCATCGCGTTGGAATCTGTCTACTCGATGAGCGGAAGTGTTGCGCCACTCGAAATCGTCTGCGACCTGGCAGAACGCTATGGGGCAATCACCTTCCTAGACGAGGTGCATGCGGTGGGCATGTACGGTCCCCACGGTGCTGGAGTAGCAGAGCATCTTGATTTTGATGCCCACCGTAACTACTCTGGAAAGGGAGGTACAATCCTCGATCGAATTGACATCATCTCTGGTACCTTCGGCAAGGCTTTTGGGTGTATCGGTGGGTATATTGCCGGAGACGCCGAATTGATCGACTTTATCCGGTCTTATGCCCCCAATTTTATTTTTACAACATCCCTACCACCCGCAGACATGGCTGGCGCCGCTGCCGCCATTACATACCAGATCGAGTACCCCGAGGATCGCATCCTGCAGCAGCTTCACGTCCGGGAGCTGAAGGAGAAACTACACAACGCTAACATTCCGGTGGTGCCTAATCCCTCACACATCATACCTATCCTGGTGGGAAACGCCGAGCTGGCAAAGAAGGCCAGTGACCTGCTGCTAGCGAGATGGGGCATCTACGTGCAGGCCATCAATTACCCTACTGTACCGCATGGGCAGGAGAGGCTTCGCGTAACCCCCACCCCTGGCCATACCTCTGAGCTGCAAGAAGAACTGACCGAGGCGCTGACGGATGTTTGGCAAACACTCGGTATTAAGACTGTTGCGGACTGGGAGCGGGTAGGCGGCTTTCTTGGTGTTGGAGACCCCAAGGTTACCAAGCCCAGTCCTCTATGGACAAAGGAGCAGCTGGCAGGGCTCAAGTCAACCCCGGGTACTTAGAATATTATCACTTCGATTTCCAAAGAAAATGTACTAAGAACAAGAAACTATAGGTCTAGACTAATTTATGTGGGTTTTTATAATTATGTATTAAAGCAAAGCTCTTACATACATCGGTGTGATTTTACAGTAATTTTACAATTTTGTAATTACAAAAAAACCACACTAGTATTTATATGTAGGAGTATATAATTCCTCGCAAGTGGGCTGTTCACTTTCGGGGTGTAAAATACCTGCATCCTACGTGTGACTATATCCTTCGCCTCAGTTAAAAAATCGCAAGTTGTTCTCGAGCCCAACCTTCTTTTGTCTTCTTATATCCCAAACGACCTTTGAGATCTTCTCGATACAAATCTTCGCGAAATGTCGTTTCTTGACCACCAAACAATCTTCTTCAGGATCACATATCCAGATGAGCAAGGTAAATATTAAGCAACCATTTCTTATACAGGTTATCAACTAACATATCTCGCAAGAATATTTTGCAGTTGTTAACTGGCGACAAGCTCCTCCTCTTGCTCCACTCGGCCCCCAAGTGCTTTTCCGATGCATCGATGTGGCCGTGACGATGGTGGAATTAGCCCCCTCATCTCACCTGGAGCCATGGGCGCCGCAGAGCAGGTGCCCATGTGCAATATACTGCGTGGACACTCGCAGCGGCCACAGCCAGAAGATTGATCTCAGCAGTAACAACAACTCGCTACCTTGGCATTTTCTTTTCAAAATCCCCGGGGGTCCATTCGGCCCTATGGTCCAATATTTTGTGAAGCTGGTTCTCTCGACTACTAGCGGGTATCTCTCGCGATGCGACTTTCTTGAACGCCGGATGCTTGATTGTCACTGGGCATCCCAAGTGATGGGGTTTTACAAGCCCCGGCAGTATGTCAGTGCCCTGAGTCTAGAGGGTGAGGGAGCAGGCCTACTGGCAAATGTATCCTCCTCCATTGGCGGAATTCTACTTCGTCAAGGCAATAATGCTATGCCTGTCACAACGTGCTTAGAGGAGCTCGATAGAGAGCTTTTTCTACGCATAACCGCACCGTTTCTCTCAAAAGAGTCGATCCCACGGAAAGTCATAGCCCTTGTGGATGGCCGTCGAAATCTGAATTTGTCTCCAGCGGCGGAGGGGATATTTCGTGCTGCACGAGCCCTGGGCATTGGAATTGTCGTCGTGGACCAGACGGGGCATTGGCTCCAGTCTAAGGACCATGGATATCTGCGAGACGACTTCTTGGCAATCGACATGAAGATTGACGATAATCTTCCCGGGCGGATTGTACATGCTATTCGTCAGTATGGGATATCTGTAGACGGCATTACCACCTTCTCTGATAAGTACCTCCTCCCAACTGCTCGTGCAGCAGCAGCTCTCGGTTTACCCACTTCTCCGGATAGTGCAATATTCAGGTGCACTAATAAATACGAGACTCGGAATCTGGATTCTTCCAAGGCCTCCCAGGTATACCGAATTTCCAGCCAGGAAGGCCTGGAGGAACTCATTGCAAGCTCAGAGAGTACCTTGGCCTTCCCCATGATTGTGAAGCCTTGCAGTGGAACATCGTCTGCAGGGGTATACAAGGTCAACAATGTCAATGAGCTACGCCTTGTCGTCAACCAGATGATCTCTTCTGCAAACCTCACTAGCAACTACGGGCTGGATTTTCTCCTCGAACCATACATTAACGGCCCTGAGGTCGATGTCAATCTGGTCCTTGTAGACGGGGAAATCATCTTTTCCGAAATCAACGACGACTTTCCCAGTCCTGGAGACAGCAGTACCGCCCAACTCACAGACACGTTCATCGACACGACGAACCTGTTTCCTTCCGCATTGCCGGAAGACGAAAAGGCATTACTCCGCTCCCATGCCTATGACGTGGTATCTAGCCTTGGCTTTCGAAATGGGGTATTCCATCTCGAGGCGCGCGTGCATAACTCTTCCATGGGGTACGCGAGGGGGCACAAAGGAGGACTGGCTGTTGACCTCCAGTTGAAGCACAGGTCCGCGAATATTTCGAGTCAGACCGGTAATGCCACCAATACTATTCCCAGCGTATTCCTCATCGAAGTTAATGCGCGAATGCCAGGATACCAAGGCACGACCGCAATTGAGCGCGCTTACGGGATCGATTACTACGCCACATACCTCCTCGCTGCAGTAGCAGACTACAGCCGTATGAGAGATCTCTCCATACCATTCCACAGTGACCTCAAGCACTGGTATGCCGTTGTGCGACTACATTCGGATCGAGGTGGTATATGGATCTCCGATGATGCATGTCAGGAGCTCCTGGACCGGCGTCCTGATCTACAAGAGAACGTATCCTATTGTCGCTGCTGTTTTCAGAGGGGACAAGAGGTGTACCAGTCCACGGCGAATGACGTGCCGTTTATTGCATACTTCATTGTCTACTCGCGGCGAAGCCGTCAGCACCTGCTTAGTGTTGTGGATGTTATCAAGAAGAATTTTCGGTATGAACTCATATCCAAGGATGAAGTGGGCTCGTCTGTGGGCAAATAATTTCATGTGGTTTCGCTTGCACATGACTGCAGATTGACTGAGAGGAGTATGTCAGCATTTTTCACCTTATCGCTGGATTGGAATTGTGTGTTTTCTATTGATGTTTAGGTGGCAATAGTAGAAAGGAGAAGATCGTAGATTCGCTAATAACTAGTTGTCTCAGTAAACCAACTCTTGCAAGGAACATTCCTTTTCTATTTATATACCAATATCCTCCTTCCCTACAGTTCTAGCCATTCCATGACTCCCAGAAACCGTTCCCAAACGAACCTTTAGACATGTCTACCGTGGTGTTGAGCAGGCCTTGTTCAGCTCCAGTGCCAAGCCCGGTTTTGAGCCACACCAAAGAGCTTCCCTAGCCATTGCCTACTTGCAACATTTCCATTACCTTCCTTCTCTGGGGTATATACATAGTTATATAGCAATATATATATTCAACCTCAGTCTAATTTTAATTCTTTGGGCATCCCTTGAATAAGATCGTTTGCTAAGGCTCTTCCATTCAATAAGAAAAAACTATTTATGTTTGGGTAATAAAAATATCTACTTCTACTCATCCTATAGTCTGCATTAATCCATATTGGTTGTGTAATCCATTTCCCGGCCCAACACACGAGTCATCGTTTACATAGCTTTAAAGATATCCAGGATCTGAGCACCACCGAGATCAAGAATCTTTTTTCCAACAGATTTCCCGATGGTCTCAGAATCGGCAGTACATTTGACCTGCCCTTTCTCATGAGCCCGAATCTCCATACCGCCATCTGGATGTAATAAAGTTCCTGTAAGATACAGGGTACCTTCATAGTGATTGTCATTGACGTTTGGTTCACCTTTAGCTGGGGTGCGTACAAAGGCACTATGAACGCCAATGGGAGCGGAACAGCCACCTTGAAGGAACCGTAGAAGAGCACGTTCAGCCAGACAGCGAACACGTGTCGGCCAGTGATCAATACACGCGACCAGTTCTCGGGCTTTTTGGTCCTCCTTGCGGATCTCTATTCCTAGAGCTCCTTGTCCGACAGCATATGTATAGGCTGGCCCCGAGAGGCGTTGGGTAATGCGGTGTTCCAGGTTTAGCCTAACAATGCCGGCAGCTGCAACAACAATTGCCGTGTAAGGGCTGTCATTTGCATCCAATTTAGCCACTCGAGTATCTCTGCATGTAGAAACAGGTTTTGTTAGCAGTGGGATAAAACCAAAGAATAGTTGGATGGAAATGATATGTCCAGGGCTTACTCACACATTACCTCGACATTCTTGGATGATCAAGTGGGGGCAGTAGTGCCTTAATTGAGCGGTGCGACGAACAGAGCATGTCCCAACTACCGACCCAGCTGGGAGTTCTTCCAGAGATTTATATGGAAGACCAGCCTTAACCAATAGAGCGTCAGTGGGGTCGTTGCGATGAGGAAATGCCCCAATCTCACAGCCATCGGGGAGAGTGGTCGGCACATCTTTTAGGCTATGGACAATAAGATCGATGTCACCCGCCAGGAGCCGCGCCTCAATTTCTAGAGTCCAAAGACTCTTTGCAGTGTCTGCAGCCGTTTGTTTATTACCATGTGCCTTAGCAAGGTCCCGAAATGCCGAGGTTTTGTCTCTATCTCCCTGCACGCTGTGGGTTGAAACTGGGAAAGTAAAGAAGCCATGGTGGGCTTTGTATAGGGCTGCTGCAACAGAGGAGGTCTGGATCAAGGCCATTTTGGAGTTCCGGCTGCCAACGCGTACGGCTTTGAAGACGTCACTTGCTGGACACTCTGGGGGCGGACGGAAAGGTTGGTCCGGGTGGTCGTTAATATGGTGGACCATCGAATTGATGTGCGATAGTGCTGCCTTCGTCAAACTTTTTTGCTCCTCATCGCCGAGCGGATAAACGGTGGCGGCGGGCGCATCATCGCTAGGGCTGGAGGCTTTACTGAGACCCTCCAACTTCAATGATGAAGACATTATCCTCAGTGTTATGGTGAAGTGGCTAAGAATGAAGAGGTGGCGTGGTTAGCAGATGGCCTGGTTTATGAGTGCCATAGGAACCAAGAACTGTGGAGAGCGGGCGAACCACCGGATCTGGAGCCACGGATATTTGATACGCTAATCCCAATCTGGATACCATTACTAATCCATGAACTTATCCCAGCCGCTGCTCAACCACAAGTCGATGCATGAACAAAAAGTGCATGGTGCACGATCAATACCCTGCACCAGCTGTTGATTCAGCCTCGTCGACAAGGCTGAAGATATTATATCCCATCTAAATAAATATGGCCAGCCCCAGTTCCAATTTTATTACTTATTGCTTGGTTGAACTTAACCACAAACTCGGATTGCTAGCCAGAGAAAGTCTGCCGAATTGAGTCGAAACAGCTGTAAGAGATGAAGACATATTGTGTACATGAGGATAAGCTAATTGTATAAGACCTCTTAAGTTGCAAATATCCGAGAACACCTGGAAATCGGTTCAGAGAACGACCAATTTACACAGGAGCCATGGCCGACCTAGAAGAAGCCTTCCGACAAGCTATTGATGCTACACCTGATGATCATCCAAACCGAGCGATGTATTTGAATAATCTTGGAGCCTATCTTGGCAATCGATACTTTCGTACTGGAGCCATGGCTGATCTAGAAGAAGCCATCCAAGTAGGACGACGAGCTGTTGATGCGACACCAGAAAATCAACTAGATCGAGCAGGACGATTAAGTAATCTTGGTGCCTTCCTTAGTAAGCGGTATTCCCGCACTAGCGCCATGGCCGACTTGGAAGAATCCATCCAAGTGGCACGACAGGCCGTTGAAGCTACACCAGACAATCATCCAGATCGGGTAGCACGGTTAAGTAATCTTGGAGCCTTTCTTGGTGAGCGATATTCTCACGCTGGAGTCATGGCCGACTTGGAAGAAACGGTGGAGGGGTCATTGCGGTTGAAGCCTAGGCCGCTGTCCCCCAAGCTCGTTAGTATGCATGATATGTGAAAGGGGGGAAGAAGGAGAGACAAACAAGGCCTCGATATAACTCAGAAATTTATCGGCGTATCTGTCTGCGCGATCACGAGGAATGGCGCCTTTGATGACTGCGTACCCGGACTCGGACTTCCTCCGAACAACCCCTCGGCCGCTAAACCTCCGAAAAGCCCTAACTCAAGCCCCAACGAGAGGACCGAGCAGCTCCCGAAGTGGGCACATCTACATACTGTGAGCATGATCATGGTCATGATACTCAACTACCCAGAAATAGTGCCCGACATTAACTTCGTATTGTGAAGACAAGTAGAAATCAGCATTTAAACACCATGCATACATCCATCAATCATCGACGAGCCATCTCACCAACCGAGTATCGAGTCAATAGGTGAATATATCAGCATGTCTACAACAACCACCCACCACCACCCAAACCACCCTCCAGGCCCCGAAGCTAGGAATGGCCCTCGACGGCCGTCCAACAAACTACAACGACTTCCGCGACCAACTCAACCGCGACCTAAACCCCTGCGGCCCCAACGACGGCGGCCTCATCGTCTGCAAAGGCGGGCACATTCTCTCTGACAATTCCATCGAGAAATGGCTGATGAACCACGCATCCCCGCCTGGACACCCGAATGGTTTGGCTTCACCGACAATGGTATGAAATGGCTCGCCGATCACGGACTGAAATGGGAAAAAGTATGCGCCGAACCGGGTGATTTGATTGTCTGGGATTCGAGGACGCCGCATTATAATGTGCCGCCGACAACGAAACAGGATCGGTTGCCGGTTTATACGTGTTATATGCCTGTTAGGGATGTTTCGCAGGAGGATTTGATTAGCAGCATACCCTGAGCCAGGTTGCCGGTCTCGCTTCCGATGCCTCAGCGGTGGCGCTCGATTCCCAACAGCCGCCTCTAGTGGCTCTTCAGCTACTCGAGCAGGGACGAGGTTTACTTGCTGCTTCCGCATACGAGATGCGCATGGATATAATGAATCTACAAGAAGCGGATCCCGTCCTAGCAGAGAAGTTTATTGCGGTCAGGGAACAATTGCAGTCACCCATTGTGAGCGAAACAAATATAGAACAAACGGATCGACCGTCCTGGAAATCACAGTCCGATCACCGTCATAAGGCGGATGAGCAATTTGATAAACTCGTTGCTGAGATCCGTGGTAAACAGGGCTTTGAAAACTTCGTAGGCGCACCTAGTCTCGAAGAAATGCAGGACGCTGCAGCATCAGGGCCGATCGCTGTGATCAACGTTAGTACATATCGCTGTGATGCGATTCTGGTTGAGACACATCAGACCCACGTCTTGACATTACCTAGTCTGAATCGAGAGGAAATCAAGGAAAAGACTGTGAATGTACATCTGGGAAGTCCCGAACTTCTGCAATGGCTATGGGATGTGGTAACAGAGCCAGTACTCAATGCCTTAGGATATATTGACCGTCCTTCAAGCGACCAGTGGCCTCATTTCTGGTGGATTCCGACCGATCTCTTGACCCGATTTCCGCCCCACGCAGCCGGATATCATGATCGTGCATCCGGCCAGACAGTAACAGCACATCAAAGATTCTTCGCGCCATAATGTTTGCCACCTCTGCTCCTCATCGGACTTCGAGACAGAGGATGAGCTTGATGAGCATTTAGGATTTGAACACTTTTTCTGTACATTTTGCAATCAAAAATTTGGTACACCAGCACGATGTGGACAAGCATAATATGTGTCTTACATGTCGGCGATGTTTCCAAACTTCTTCGAATCTGAAAAGTGTTTGCTCTCCTGCTTCTTCAATTCCAAATAGTCACTGATAGCTTCTTTTCCAGCACAAAATCACGCATGCCGAGAAAAGAGTCGATTGCCCTGGATGTTCTAATCGATTTACGTCGGAGTCGGCGATGATTTTGCATTTAGAGGCTGGAACATGCGAATGCAATGCTGACCTCGATAAGATCACTGAACTAGCTTTCGAGTGCCACCAGTCAGAATTCTACAGCTCTGATAATCCAGACTTCAACTTCGAATGTCCAACCTGCCAGACACCGTTTCGTTTTATGAGTGGGCTCTTACAGTCGGATGCACATGCAGAGTAACAAAAAAAAAAAAAAAAAAAAAAAAAAAAAAACTTTTTCGCTTTCCTGACGCACTGCCAAGAAACGCCACAACAAAATTAGGTTAGTGTAGGAATAATGTTGATCCGGAGATATTACAACACATATTGATACAAAGTTTTGTTTACAATACACGTATGGTGATAAAATTCATTTCTAGCATATTCGATCGCCTGCGGGTGAATTTTGGAGGGGTTGGTTTTAAACGGACACTTTCTATTCCCCTTCTTACTTACTTACAGAATTGTATCATTTACACATCTAACAACAGTTCTCAATGGGAAGAAAATGTCACTATTCAACCTCACTCCCCTCTCTCTAGGATCTCTTTCGCCAACAGCCCAAACTTTTCATGAATCATGGAAAAGTTTACCTGTCGAGATTCCATTCACTCCCCTCAACACCTTGACCGGCTGTCGGGAACGGCTCGAGCAGATGCTGTCACAACCCGATGCCTACGAAATCACAATTGCTAACAACAACAACAACAAATCTTCTGGCCCTTCTGAAGATACAGTACTGGGCTTTTTATCACTCAATAAAAAGGAAAAAGCACTAGAACAGCTTTTTGTTCACCCCTCCGCACAGCATCTTGGGCTCGGTGGGATATTGCTCGAGGTGGCGAAAACGAGGCTACGACGAGAGGATGGAGGGTTCTGGCTTAGGACTGCTGAAGGGAATTTACCGGCCTGTAAGTTCTATGAGAAAAATGGATTGCAGTTTGTGAAGAGGGAGAGACATCCAGTTTACGGCCATTGGACTTATATATATGTTTGGCAATGATCTAAGTTATCATTCTAGAAAAGGCTACTTTGGATAGATTAGACTAGCATATTATATTATCAGAAATTAGACCTTGAACCATCTGCAGTCGGCCTCCACTATTTAAGATTGATGGAGGTATGCACTAACTAGGGGTTATATGGGGGTCAAATTTGGCGGGTTGTAATGTAGGTTACGCCATAGTTACGTATTAATATATGCATTATATAACCCGCTGCCAATATGGACGCATCTCCAATGCAGGTGCTGTGTGGCTCACCAGTGTGGGCTGAACCGGAGCAGTAGCCAAGAGCCCACTCACCCCAATAAGTGGTGGACTTAAAATAAAATAGCAGGTAGACAACACTTGGCGTTAGGGTCCGAAAATACTATTAGTTGACCCCGGTGATTTCCATAGTACGTTTTTATTACTGTCATACAGGGATCATGTTATATTGCCGTAATTTTTATAGCCAATAACTTGCTACTTATATAGGGACTTCACTCATTATAGTAGGCGTTCTCCTAGTAAAGTACCATACAGAGTATTACGCCATATGTATACTAGGAAAATCCTTGGCTCTGTTTCAGAAGAAAGAGAGAAGTGTGAGTTGTAACTCTGAACCTGCCATCCACTGTACAACATGCAGAAAGCGATTCTTGTGATGAGAGTTTGGTTGAAAAATGGCTGTTGGGGATATTTTTGCGTTTCGTGAAATCTCGTGTACATTGATATGCTGCAAATCCCATGCATTTTGAAGATAACCATTTAATAGTATTGAAACCCCTCCCGGAATCCACGGTCTAATATTACTCTGAAGCACCACCTTTCCTCGCTTCGTACCGGCTGCTTGGGTCTCTACCTGGTTTGTCTGGGCGTCAACTTATGTATGTTCTCTGTTCCTGTGGACTACGAAATAGGATTTTCTGCAGCCGGCCTATCTTTGATTACTTGATAGTATTCCAGCTTATCAGGGTTGACCTAAGACTCTAGAGATTTGAGTAGTTGAGAAAGGGGAAGCCGGGCTTGATCGAGGTCTTCCCTTAGCCGCTCGTAATTCACTCATTTATTCCCATGATCCTAAAAGTGACAACTGCGCCGACAATTCGACCATAGAAAAGGACTTATTATACTCTTTATCCTCTGGCCCATTATATGATAAGTCAAGGTGACTGTTCCCAGGGCACATAAGCAGACCTTCTTACCGATATTGCTTCCGTCACAAAGATCTTGTATGTCTTTTGTTGATATGTAGCACTCAATGCATTGAGCAGGAATCCACCGATATGCTACCCAGTAATTATCGTTCACATAATCTAGTCCACTTTCACAGTAACTTCTCCACTAAACAGGCAGTTTGAAGTGCTCAGCCAAAGTACTTGTACGGTTGAATAGAACGCCCATACGTATGAGTTTCGATACGCTGATTACTGCGACATCAATGCCATCTCGATCTTGATACTTTCAGCGTTTTATGATATTCAAAGCTCTCCGTGGATTATCCGTTAAGGCAATGAGGCCAGACGGGTTTGTACCCTCACAGTGATTGGTGAGCACATCCAGATTGAAAAATAGAGCATCTTTAATTGTGCGGGAAGTGAAGTCTGGGCGTACCATAGGTTGATTCGACGAGCGAAAGCCGAGTAGGTCGTGATAAAATCCATCTGCAGAGAATTTCTAAGGCATTGATGTCGGTTTTGCAGCGTTAAGAGGACGTCTTTCATCCTTACCCCGATGTTTCTGATTTGCTCGTCAACCGAAAGTTGCCTTTCTTCGCTACAGCTTGTTTGTTTTTGTTTGTTTGTTTGTTTCATTTACCCCGACCCCTCGCAATTAAGCGATACCGTCCCTCACCGCCTCAGGAATAACCCCATCTCAGGAATAATTTTAGTTCAAAACGCGAAAAATCGCGAATATTTGAAACCGCGATATATCAACCAATATGGCTTCAATGGAGCTCGCGCTTGCAGCGTTACGTTCAGCGGATCCTGGAGAAAAACCTAATATCAGTTTGGTTGCAAGAACTTACGGTGTTAGCCAATCGGGCCTTTACAAACGTTTTCACGGTATTACGGGCTCAAAAGAAGAGCATTACAACACGCAACGAATACTCACCACCTCGCAATCAAAAGCGCTTATAAAATGGATAAATCAACTCACCGAGCGAGGCCTACCCCCTACAAATTCAATGTTGGCAAACTTTGCAAGAGAAATATCTGGTAAAGAGCCTGGTAAAAACTGGGCTACGCGCTGGCTCAAGGCTCATTCGGATAAGGTGATTTCTCGCTTTTCAACGGGCCTCGATGTGGATAGAAAAAGGGCAGATTCGGCACTCAAATATGCTTTATATTTTGCACTTATTGGCCGGAAAATAGAGCAATATAACCTCGGCCCGGAGCAAATCTATAATATGGATGAGAAAGGCTTTATGCTTGGAGTAACAACAAAACGGAAAAGAATCTTTACTCGGCGTAAATATGAGCAAGGAGGCTATAAGCAGCATCTTCAGGATGGAAATCGAGAATGGATTACAACAATTGGTTGTATTTGTGCGAATGGGACTGCTTTAGCGCCTAGTCTTATTTATATGGCAAAATCGGGCCATATACAAGATTCTTGGCTTCAAGATTTTGATTCCCAAGTACAAAGATGCTTCTTTGCAGCCTCAGAGTCAGGATGGACTAATAATGATATTGGATATCGCTGGTTGGTGGATGTTTTTGATAAAGAGACAAAATCTCAAGCAAGCCGGGGATGGCGCCTTCTTATCCTTGATGGGCATGGATCTCACGTTACAATGAAGTTTATTGAATACTGTGATTCAAATCGAATCTTATTGGCAATTTTTCCGGCTCATGCAACGCATACTTTACAGCCTCTTGACGTCGCTCTTTTCTCGCCTCTTTCTAATGCTTATACGAAGCAATTGGACGATTTTATAAATGATAGCCAAGGCTTCACCCGGCTCACTAAACGTGACTTTTTTCGCCTTTTTTGGGCTAGCTGGAATGAGGTTTTTACAAGCAAGAATATCAATTCAGCATTTGCAACAACCGGTCTATATCCCTTCAATCCGGATATTGTTATCAAAAATTTAACAAGAAAATCACCAGCCGGCCATCCTCAAGTGAATCCGGAGCTTCAATTATCCCTGAAAATGATTGGAGACGGCTTGAGAAGATTGTTAAAACTATTGTTAACAATGTTTGGGATGAAAAAGCTATATTGCTTAGAGAAACGGTGTCACAACTTTCTACTAAGCTTATCTTGCTTGAAAATGAGAATCAAGGCCTAAAAAGAGCTCTCATAAATGCAAAGAAGCCTAAAGGCAAAAAGCAGCCTTTATTACTAGGTTTACCATCAGAACAGGATGGTGGAGCGCTTTTTATGAGCCCTAGTAAGGTTCAGCAAGCTCGTGATATTATTTCTCAAAAAAATGAGCAAGCTGCGCAGGAGCAAGCTCGTAAAGATGATAGAAAGCTTCAACAACAGCTTACGAAGCAAGCTAAAGAGGCTAAAAAGGCTGAAAAGGCTCAAATTCAACAAGAAAAACGTGAACAGCGTGAGCGAGAGGCTGCGGAAAAGCAACAGCTCAAGGATGAACAAGAATTAGCTAAATTAGCTGGTTTACAGCTTCAAACAGATGTTATATCAACTCCTAAGGCCTCAAAAAGCTCAAAAAAGCAAGCTTCTAAGCAAGCACCGCCAAAGGCGCCTCTGGAGGCTGATTCAAAGGACGATGGGGTGGTGGTTACTACAAATCGACGAGGCCGCGCGATACGGCCCCCTGCGCGTTTTCGGGACTAAATTTTATGTTATTTAGATTCTCCATATCTTATCTAGTGCTACTCCAAGAATTTATTGTATTTGATTATTATATGGTGTTGTAAAGCTTCAAAATATCCTGTATAGTAAGCGGTTGAAATTATTCCTGAGGTAGGGTTATTCCTGAGACGGTGAGGGACGGTATTCTTCGCTACAGCTGTTTGTTTGTTTGTTTGTTTGTTTGTTTCATTTACCCCGACCCCTCGCAATTAAGCGATATGCAGGTTACTACCACTATCTATATCCTTGTAGCTCTAATTACAGTCATCGACGCATTTCTTACGGGCGAACTTTATGCCTCGCCTAGGGGCCTGTGGTCGGCCTTTGCCTTGGGTTCCTTTCCGGTGGGTCCGTTGGCCCACGGTTACAAAACCTTTGAGAAGCTTCTGCGAAGTCCAGCACAGCGCCTAAAACGCTGCCTTGCGGAGTATTGCTTTTGCTACTATGATCTTTCGCTCCTAGCATGAGCGATATATCCCCAAAAGCTTCACCCACCTCTTTCCGTAGTTTCTGTCGTTCGGTAGCCAGTCTCGGGCAATCAATCAGAACGTGGGTGACGGTTTCCTTCGCGCCACACTCGCATGTATCGTCCTCGCGGAACTGGAGGAATTTTCCATGGGTTGCCAGCCAAGAGTGTCCTGTTCGTAGTTGCGTTAATAAGTAGGCTCGGTTCCGGGGTAGCGACTGGTATAGTCGCCGGGTATGGATAGATGGGAGCGTGCTGTCGATTCTCCGGAGGTGGGCACCCTTCCGTGATGCTTTCCATTCGTCTTCCCATTCTTTTAGGATTTGTTTTCGGATCGCTGCTTTCTCGCGGGAGACTGGTCGACAGAAGGGATGTGTCTTGTCGAGGCCAACTGCTGTCTTGGCCAGGTGGTCTGCCGCGTCGTTCCCTGGGTCATCGCAGTGACCCGGGATCCATTGGAGACGAAGAGAGATGCCTCGGCTATCTAGTTCATACGCTGACTGGTTGATCGCTTGAATCACCCTTTGACCAGATTTATTGCTTGGGTTCCTAATTGCTTGCAGTGCCGATTTGCTGTCACTCAGGATGGTTATCATTTCGCCCGTTCCTGGTCGGCTGGGCTGTTTATTTTGATGTGAGAGTCTGAACGCTAGGCTGATTGCATAAAAAATGCCGATTAGCTCCGCAGTATGGATGGACCATTGTGCCATTGGGCCTATTGTCGTCGTGCGAGATGCTACGACTTTCTGGTGCCGGTCTAAGGCCACGGCCGCTGCCCCAAGGTGGCTGTCATGTCCCGAGGCGTCCGAATAGACAACTCGACTCGGATCCACGAGTAGGGCCGCGGCTTTCTTCCTCGCTTTTTCTCGATCTGGGGTGATGTCGATTTCCTTAAAAACCGATGGCTTCCACGGTGCTGTCGGTTTCGGGTCGATGGTTTCTAACCCGTTGAATTGTTCTACACGCATGGTTTTCATTGACTCGGCTAGTGGAAATCGTGGGGCACTGCCAATGCCGGCGTGATCGCGTCGCCTTCTGGCCCGTGACAGTACTCCTTGTATGGGATGATCCCACGGGAGTGTGAGCATGTTAATAATGGTCAACTGCGCTCGCTGTCGGAGACGGAGGCGGGTCGGTAGCGTAAACATCTCAACTTCCATCGTGGCAGTAGCAGTGGATCGAAATGCCGACAGGATCCGAATGAGTGTCGATCGCTGGACCGTGTTGAGGGCCCGGAGGTGCATCTTGTCTTTCGGCGGGCTGTGCCAGACCGTGGATGCATAGTCCACGATGGGCGTGACGCAGGCTTGGTATAGCTGTCGCATTTGACCGGGCCGCAGGTGTCGCAGACCACCCAGTGCTGTGTTGACTCTTGTGGCTCTCTTTAACACCTGTTGTACATGCGGCTTCCATCGGAGCTCATTGTCGAAGACCACACCGAGGAGCTTGGCGGTAGTGCTTGGTTTGATGGTGCTGCCCTCGATGGTCAGTTGTCCCTTGTTGCGTTCGGTCTTTTTCCGTGTCAGGTGGATCAATTCTGTCTTCTCTACTGTGAAGGATGAACCTGTTTGTCTGGCCCACTGTTCAATCCGCGGTATATCGTCACTTTGTAGTCTCCGAAGATTGTCCTCTGCGGATGGTCCCACGACCCATCGAAAGTAGTCGTCGATAAACGCCGATGAACCACCCTTTCGATCAACTGGTTGGTCCACCAGTTCTGCATTGAAAAAGATGAATAGGACCGGAGATAACGGTGATCCTTGGGCTAGGCCAGCATTGTCCAGGGTAGTTCTAGTGGATTCAAAGTCGTCGAAGGCGATACTTGCAGTACGATCTTCCATGAAACTGGCGATCCAGGTGCGGATGATGATCGGGATCCCTTGTGCTTTGAGTTGGAGGTCAAGGACCTTGCTATTAACCCCATTGAAGGCGCCTTTGAGATCGAAGGCTACCAGTGTCACCACCCGACCTCGGATCCATGCCTGGTCGATGGCGTTAGATAGCACCAGCAGTGCCTGCTCGGTGTTTCGTCCTGGCCTGCCACCGAATTGGGTGTTCGGTAGCAGATTATAGGTCTCCGCATAAAACGAAAGGCGTTTTGCGACAACTGCTTCTAGGACCTTGCCGAGTGTATTTAGGAGCGAGATCGGTCGGTATGTTTCAGGCTTAGTATAGTCTGGTTTGTTCGGTTTCCGGAGGACTATAATCCTTGCTGTCTTCCATTGTTGTGGGTAGTGTCCGAGGTTGATAGACGCTGTGAAGATCTGAAAGATCTCCTCGTTGAGGTATGGCCATATCTGTTTCCACGCAAGCGTTGGGATTTCGTCTTCTCCTGGGGCCTTCATGGTTTTCATGCGTTGCAGGGCTCTGTGGACCTCTTCCTTCGTGATAGGCTCCCAGCGAATTTCTTCTTTGGGTGGTGTATTTTCTGTGGTTTCTGGGGTTGCCATCTTGGGGAAGAATGTGTCCATAAATAACTTGGCTTTGCACTTGTTGTCTACTACCTCGTTTGTTCCATCTTTCAAAGGTGGGATACAGCCAAAGGATTCTCGCGGTTTCATGTATGACGCTGCCTTCCAGAGGTGTCCTTCTCCCGCTTTGTCCAGGAATTCTTTCCAGTGATGCGATTTGGCTTTCTCAATGGCTCGCGTCCAAGCTCGGCGTTTCGTTTGCATGTCGTGGAAAAGGGCGTTAGATATCTCATGTTGGCGCCCTCTTATAGCGCAGCTCTCTTGCCATCGCCGGCGAGCTCTGTTGACCTCTCCCTGTTGTATCTTTAGTTCCGGGGAGAACCAACGTTTGGCGTACGGTGACGGTTTCGCCACTGGTGTGTGTTGGTCTACGGCCCTAGTCGTGCAGGAGATGAGCCTTTCTACCGTCTTGTCGAGTTCGGCGATCGACTAGATTGAGGAGAGAGGGGCTATCTGGCTGTGCACCAATTTCCCGATCTTTTCCCAGTCTGATCGTTCGTATGCTTTTCTTGGTTTTGGCTCTGCGTTCCGCATTGTTTGGAGGGACCATTCGGAATAGGTAGCTCGATGGTCCGATCCATAGTGGTCATGGTACAGGTGGCACCTGGTGACATTCTCCGGCTGGTCAGTGACTGTAAGATCGATGGTCGAAGTGCTTCCCGGGTGGCTTAATGACCAGAACGTGGGTGTGCCTCGTGGTAGACATGAATGGAGCCCGAGTCCCTGGAAGAAGCTGACCAGCTCCTCGGCGTGTTCGATAGCCGTTGTGGGGATTTGGTTACGGCTCCATATTGGGTGGTGGCGATTAAAGTCTCCCGCCATGATGATTGATGTTGCTTTGCTCAAGGGGTCTCTCGCCTGTTGAATACTGGCTTCTATTTCATTCAACATTGGCTGTATCGATGATTCCTCCAGCCGTTGGCTGGGGTTGATTGGTTGGATATATACTGAGAATATTAGTATTTGTTTTTCGGTTGTCCAGAGTTTAATTGCGGTAACATCTGGATGGTTGCATTTGATCTGTCGATGAGAAGATGTGGAGATTCTCCGATTCACGTAGAGCAGGCTGCGTCTTCGTAGATCTCCTTGGTACGTTGGTTGATATAGGCGCCATGCGCTGTGGTTGACATGCGTGTTGAACGCGGTTAGTGGTGGCTCTTGGATGAGGAGTATATCCAGGTTTTGCGTCCGGTGGTCGTTGATTAGTGCTTCCATGCAGGGTCTTGCTTTCATGGTGTTCAACTGTAGTATACTTAGGTTTGTTGCGGTCATTGCATTGGTGGGGGGTTTGCAGGTTTGGGGCAGTTCCTATCGCCAGTTGGGTGTTCTTCTGCACAGTCAAGACATTTTGCTCTCATCCCAGGTGGGCAGTTTCGTCGGTCGTGGTTTCCTGTACAGTGTCCGCATCGTGCTTGTTCTTTGCACGCCCACGCCAGGTGGCCAAACCCTTGGCACCGGTAGCATCTTTTCTCTTTTACCTGGTAGGGTACCACGCTGCCGATATGTGTGTGTCCTATTAGGAGGCCACGGTCCATTAGCCATTCCGCAGCCTCGCGGGTGTCGAACCAGATCCCAAGCGATCCGTGCTTGCCAATTGCTTTCTCTTTGTCTTTTCTGAGCCAGGAAATTTGGCTGATTCGAAATCCTCTCAATCCCATCTCGTTGTCTTCCATGATTTTGTTGATGCGAGCCTCGTCATCTTGCAGTGATGTAAGTTCTTCTGTGGGTGTTCGGTGTACTACCACCCCGAATCGTGGCCGGACCAGCTTGGTGTTGTTCCCCAATTCTCCTAGCCATTCGGTGTTGGATCGTGCGGTGTCAGCCTGGTCTTCACTCCGGAACCGGATTAAGTATCCCGTTCTGGTGATTCCGACTCCGAGAACCTGTGTGTCTTGTGTTGCGGGTGCATTAGCGAGTGCTTTCTGGATTTGAGCCGTCGCCACTTCCGCAGGTAGATTTTTCCTGAATGTGGTTGTGTCGTCACTGTTGTCGTCGGTGTCCCCTCTTTGAGTGCTCACTCTAACACAATTGGTTTCTTTGGCCTGTTTTTTCCCGCCCCCGGGCAGAGCGCTCCAGGGGGTTGGCTGTGCTTGACCTCCATGCGCTACCACTGTCGTCCATGATGGATAGTCGCTTGTGGTAGTTGGGGTGGTGATTGCACTGCGTAGAGACTGGAGTTCCTGGATGATTTCATGAGAAGCGTGTGACGTGTCCAAAATATATATTGCAGAACAACTCATACTTGCGTTTCCCCTCTTTCTGTAATCTAGGTATGTATATTAACCGGTATTTCTTCCGATTCTCTAAGTCCTCTTGGTAAGAATTCAGCATCCGTTCGCCTTCAAAACGGGGAAGAAATCCAAACGAAAAAAGGCTCGGGCTGCCGAATCGACATCCGTACTTGCATCTCCGGAAATTGACTATCACCGCCCCTCTTTGTCGTAAGTAAGCTCCTTGAAACTGCTAGTGTTCAAGATATTAGGATCGATCTAACCTTTTTGTTGATACTATCAAATTCCGCTCATCACCCTTATTATTGGTGACAAACGTTACGGCATTCCCGAGGCTTTTCTTCTAAAGTATCCGCGATTTCCGCCGCGATCGCATTTTTCATCAAATATTACATTACACGATATTCACGAGGATGCTGGCCACACTTTGGTGCATTTTTTATACTCAGGAAAATATGAAACTACCAATGCACCACTCAACGAAGACACATCTGACATCGCAAGAGAGTATAAGAGAAGCATCTTCGTTTACCAGGCTTCTAGAAAGTATGGTATCGCTGCTCTCGAAGCTCTCGCCCAGAGGTATATTCAACATTTCGGGGACGGGATGTCCTTGCCTGACATACTCCGGGAAACCAGAGACGCGTTTTCAAAGCTCCCCGAAGGTGAACCCCGGCTTCCATGTTATATCAAAACAAGATTACAACATATGCTGGAGCCCCCCGAAATAGCGAGTGGGTTGGATACGTTTTATAGCAGTCTGGGTCAGAACCATCATTTTGATAGTATAGTATTAAAAATGGCGGTCGAAGCTCTCTTTGTTCGCTTATCTTCGCCTGGGCGTTCGCCTGAAGACGGTAAGGACCCTCGACGGATCTCGGTTTCTGGGCTCATAAATAACGGATATACAGGAGATATTGTTACTGCAGAAACCATCCATACCGATGAATCCACGTTTAAAGACGGTTCTCCTACTGGGGAGTCTGCCCAAAAAGACGCTACTTCTGGTGAGCCCACCTGGGAGGAAGATGCTTCCCCCCTTCCTATCGAAGAGTCTGCCCATGAAGACGCTCTTCCTGAGGAACCTACTTGGGAGGAAGATGCTTCCCCTCTTCCTGCCGAAGAATCTACCCATGAAGACGCTCTTCCTGAAGAACCCACTTGGGAGGAAGATGCTTCCCCTCTTCCTGCAGAAGAATCTGCCCCCGAAGACGCTCCTCCTCTCCCCGAGGAGCTCCCTGTTGATGAAACTGCAATCGTAGAGGATGCCCATCAAGATGAACATCCTTTCACCGGGCTATATTTGTCAACAGCTGAAGCGCTACCCAGTGAAGGCCATCTTGGAGCTGTACAAGCCCACCTAGTTCAGGTTTCAACTAGGGACTTAGCCTTGTATAAGGGCTGGGGAAAACTTACTTCAGATATGAAGGCGAGCAGAGCACAAAAGCTGGCGGTAAAGGGTCTTCCAACCCCGAACGAAGATGGGTTTGTCTCGATCTTTGTGACAGGAGCAGGAGCTTAGAGCATGTCTTGATTTACCACTCAATTGTATTGATCTTAAGTATTGCGAGTAGTATCTTCTTGAACCCACTTGCTAAAGTAAACACTGGGTCTGTTTGAACCTAACCCCGCGCTAACCATTGACCTGGTGTGGTAGAACATGAATACTAAAATAACTACAGTTCTAACCCTATGCAAATCCACATGGATGTTCAACCACATTGTGATCAATTTGAGAATCCATATACATTCACAAGTATGCATACGGAAAAAAACTGGGCCTTAAGTGAATGGTGCGGATGTATGAAAGTAACTACAGAGATCTAGGCAGTCAGGAAACTCAAATTGGGGCATTAATTCCGCCGCGAGTCGATGATTTTCAATGATTGCTCAAGGCTGATACTCAAGAACTGCCATTTTTGCTTTCTGGTGTACATAGTCTCGAAGGACTAATCGAACCTGGTCGCGGACCCGACTGGACGCTGCCACTAGAAGTTTATTAGTAGATGATTGGTTCTCTCTCAGATGGCGCATACCTATCACTAACGACTCTCCCTTCTCTTCTTGAGCGTTCGGAAGTCTTTCAATGAGCTTTCCAGACAACTCCGCACGTAGAATCTGATCATAATTTGCACGTCGGTTGTAGACAACAGCTCGGTCGTGGTTCCCAAATTTCATCACGTCGCCAATGATCTGACCAAATCTTACATAGATCGAGATGGTCAAGATCTATTCCAGCACTCAACATCTGATTGCACTACCAATAGAGGAATATGCCACTTACGTAACGCTTCTTTAAGATGTCATCTTCCAGTAGACTGTTCAGAGTTGCTTGCACTGCGATGGCGATGTCTTCATATGTTAGCGTAAGATAACTTGATGTCATGGTACTTACCAAGAGTATCAACCTCCCAGACAAGATGCACTCTTCTTGTTCGAGATGCCGACGTGTTATAGCTATAGACGAGCTTTTTGAGATAAGGAATGGCAGCCGCGATACCAAAATCATTGGCCACGAGCACAACACTCTCATAACGATCAACTTTGTTGCTCATGCCATGGGGTCCAATAATGAACGCGCACAATGAAGCTGATCCCTGTGGAGCAGCACGGGCGTGCTTCAGTAATTCGCGAGAAAACCCACTTCGTGGCTGAATCAGTAGGTCCAACGTCTCCTGGGCGCTGTGGGACCACGATGTGACCATGAATGGAGGCACTTGCGCCCATGACCACCAGGTCACCGAAGGCATCCATAAATTGATGTGCTGTCCCGCCTTAATCCTCATCGGACGTGTGAGGGCCACACGAACTTGAATGATTACGTCAGAATCATTTTTCCCTTCAATTTTGGGGCGGTTACAGGAAACCCGCGCCCGAGGCCATCGATGCAACGAGAAGAATCTATTGTGATAGATCAGAAAGCCAAGCTGTAGTAGCAGCGCTATTGAGAGCAACACGAATGTGGTAATGATACAAATCCTCAAAAGGCGATTCCCAGATGGAACATGCCGCCACGTCGCATATAAAAGAATATATGCAAGGACCTGATGGGTTCGAAGGAACACTTCAAAGATGTGACGGCGAATATACGGCAGTGCAAAGAGTGTGAGCCCTACTACACATCCGGCCCCCTATTTTCAAATCAGAGACGGTATACATAAGAGGTCAACAACTTACAATAAGTGCAAAAAGGTTGCTCGTTCGATCCAGTGAGAAACCTCTCTTGGATAGTGGAAATTAAGACATGTAGAACTAACAAACCGCTCACCATCCAAGCAGTGCCCCGGTGGATCTGGAGGCACGTGTGGCGAGAAATACTCAATATATCGGAGTAGAAGCTCACGTGTCCCGCCGCAAATAAAGCGACCATGTTGACCACAGCCAGAGTCCCTGATCTATCTGCAAATTGTGTTGGCGAAGAGACACCGAAGCAGAGACAGAACAAGTTGATCCCGGTGTAGAAAAGGTGAATTAGAACAGCCCCACGTGTCCATGGCCCAAGGAAGCGATGGCGACGAAGAAAGAATGGAAATATCACATATCGAGAAATGTACACTTCAATGTTTTTAAATAACAGATATAAACGCGGAAGAACACTGAGCAGGAAAAGAGTGACAAAAACACCGCCCGCGGTGATGGCATAAATGCTGATGATATCCATAACATCAAGGGAGTACGAAGACAGGAAGGACGCGGGAATCGTTCGTTACTTATATATTCGGTAAAATCTGAAACAAGATGCTAGAACATCCTTGACAAAATCGGGGTTGACAATATGTTGCCATATTTTAGACGATCTTTTGCATCTGAGCGTTCACTGGATAGACTGGTTCTAAAAATATACTGTTCTGTGAACAACGTGTTTAGTTATCAATATAAATTCTGCGGACAGAAATTCTGGAGATAGACATCCCGGAAACAGGGTTTCTACTGCATAGTATTTCTATCCGCAGAATTTCCATTGATAGACCACTCCAATCACAATCATCTGTTCATAGAATCAGCTGGGTGGGTCGCTACGAGACGTCAGGGTCTCCTAGAGCCGCCACAAACATCAGCCCGCCTCACAAAGGGCCATGCAGATCCTGCTGCCTGATTGTTGTGGCGGGCTTCAGTGGCTAGGGCGTACCTATCGGAGCATTACCTAGTAGATGGGTTATAGGTCCTCACAATCTAGGGCCTGTCGCAGCGACCAATAATATATCGTACCTGACAATATTCCAGCATATTATGCTGACGTAATTTATATAAGCGCTGATGATTTTGTTATGGAGTTATCTTAGCGCACTTTCATTGAAGCCACTTTTCCATGCGGAATCCTCGGCGTATCTAATTTAGGTAAAGCGTCTAACGACCAGGCACCAAGGGGTCAGAGCGTCAGCGAAATGTTACTTCATTGGTTACACAAGTGGTATCGGTCCTGACTCGGGGGTTGTCTCCGGTCCAAGATTTTCTTGTTTCTTTGTTTCTTTGTTTCTACCTCTTTGTCTGCTGGCTCTTTGTTTCGTTCTAACCATAAATTTCGAAAGCTGTGTTTCACCACTCATTTACTGGACGCAGACGGTAAGAGCTGATATGAGGTTACATGTACCAAATGGGTAAGAGTTACAACAAGGGTATAGTCTTTTGTTGGGTCAAATTGGTCTCAATGAGCTCATTTTTAAATTAAGTACTGTATTTGATTGGTATCATAGATCAACAGGCTGATCTTTTCCTCTCAACACTGGCAGGATTAAGATTGAGCACGTCGAGATAAAACGAAACACCGATTTCGAAGGATCCCTCTTGGGGAAGTTTGTTAAGTAAGCGAGCCGCAGAGTCATACCCCATGATAATACTGAATATTTTCAAGGATGTGCTTCTACGACCAAAAAATATTCGCTTGTGGTGATTGGAAATGGACACAGTTTGCTCACCAATGCAGTTATGAGAACCGTACCGGCGAGACATGTGGTCTAAAAATGATCAACATGGCAAGATACGATTCAAATGATTGTCGGATCTGTAAAAAGATTCAAACTAAGATCCGTCGACGTCAGCGAGAGCTACAGCGACTGCAACGTTGGAGTCGTGAGGGGAGAGGTCTAGTAGCAACAATCAACCGCTCACAACTACTCGTCAGCGATCTCGAAGAAGAGATCTCTCAGCTACAAAAGCGACGGTACTACAGTATAAGGAAAAAGTGCTCTTCCGGATCAAAAGAAATCTCAGCTTCTACAAAACTCAAGCGGACAGGGCATCATGTGAAACGAGATACGGAGCTAGGATTTTAGGGCACGATCCCAATGGTTAGTTGATGTTCATTCATTTGCCGTTATGAAATCCACCTCTAATGTCACTTCTTCGCTTCTTCTAATCGTATTACTGATGTAGATCCGGTTACGGAATCATAATGTGGACGAATTTTCACCGGTCTTTCATCAATACATCGACACACCTCGGCTCGAAGCTTTGCAACTACCGCATTCAACGCGTCCTCACGTACTTTGACGGCTTCGAGATCCTGGACACCGGTGAGATCGGGTGCTCGCCAATGGGTATAAATCTTGTTATGGCACCCGGAGACGGAATATCTTTCCGGAAGGGAATTGATATAATGGTAACAACAAAAGCATGATGGTTTACTGCACCCAATATATTTGTCGCCTGCGACGAATTCCCACCCATTCGACCGAAATTTCTCAAGCACAAGCAGCTCCGCATGAACTCGAGATTTGAAACTGCACGCTCTGCGTGTCCTTTCATGGAGGTTCCCAAAGACGTTTAGTCGGTCAAGGCCACTGCGAACTTCGTTTGCCGTAAACTCCGGGAACATACGGCGCACGATACCATCAAGGGTTGATGCGTCCGGATTCAATGGAGATGGCAAATGCCGAGAAGATTCACAAATACGAAGTTCGCAGTTTTCGAGCAATTGCGGAATGTCAAACGCAACATCAAGCAGAGTGTTAACAGTTCGTGAGTATGTTGCAAGGCGACCAATAAAATGCTTTGTTCGGGTGACCGGCTGGTGGTGATCCGTTTCTCTTCTGGAGAATCTCGAGAGCATAGGGAAATAAATCCGACACTTCATACAGACATTAATTATGTCTTTGATAGAGCTATCCCCACAAGAGTGTCTGGGAGGCATGTGTTTGTAGATCTTTCAGCCACAGGATAACGATCTCCAGTTCCGAGTCACTTTCGGGCTCGACTGAGGCTTATTTGGAAGTCAGTATATTGCAGAAGCCTGATAGTCTAATATCTAGGGGCAAATGGCAAGAAACCTTTAGAAAGCTGAATTTTGCTCAAACATCTTGGCAGCTCCCGAGATAGCTCTTTCCGATAATAATTCAACCTTGACCGGCAGAACTCAACAACGCAATCGGAAATTTCATCGGCAACTCGTACTCTTGTATCAGGCGTGGCCTTCCGTAGAGTATCGACGATTCTTTGCAGGTATTGTACAGTTCCAGTTTTTGGGTTTTTATTGGCGGCGAGCCAGATCACGGTGCGGAAAGGGGTTGATTGCAAAGCCACGGCCATAACCGTGTCACCTCCTTTATGAGAATCGCATATCATCGCAATCGCGTCGACAAAGGATCTCCTCAACTGATCGAGTGTGTCATCGGTGGTGTAGATGGAGTTGGTAAAGCGGCAGCCACGGACCGGATCGAGAACACTGAGAAGAACTAGGGATTCGTAAAATCGACGTTCGAGACGTGGATATCGATTTAAAACTTTTTCGACTGTGAGCGTAAAGTGGCTGTTCGGAGTTGACGGTCTGATTGCCCTTGATGGGGAACAAGGAACAATTGCGGCCAAACCTGAGTTTCCAATTTCCTTCTTAGCCCGTGCCTGGATTATCGATCGAGATGATTTCTTCTTTCGTTTTGGCATATTGGTATTTCTCATGTCTTCAGTGGTATTTGGTGGCATTTGGACATTCCAACAAGAGCTACGGAGTATAGCCTCCCAACCCCTGCCGCAAAGGTAAGCTAAACCATATTCGTAGATTTATCCGAAGCCCCTGTTTCGGGTGCAGTAATGGTATGTATCACAACCAGGTGTATTGATCAGGAACCATGAATTGTGGTCAGAGTTGCACATGACGTCATGCTATTTTACGGTAAATTATGGTTATGTGAAACATCATTATTCAGGCACTTTGCTGGTTAAAGGTTAGGGCGAAACATATTAAATAATTGAAGTGAGCAAAATCGTGCACCGTTTTTGCAAACAACTGTAACAGCGAATGCGAGGATTGTTTTCCCGAAATTTTCCAATATCGAACTTATAACTGCGAAAGAAACAGTCGAGGAAGAAAAATATACTTATACGACTCCTTATACGTCTGCCAAGCGCGAATATGGTTCGTGATTGTCTAACTGTATCTTTAACGATGCTGACCCTGCACCTAGTTGAAAGAACATACTGCCATGCATATATTATCAATTCAGGACCTACAGAAGGTTCTTTTGAGGTGCTAGCTAGCATGAAATCCAAAAATCGCATGGATGCAATGTTACAGTTATTAGACTTTCTGGAGGCGAAGGTGTTCAGTGCTGTAGAGGAACAGAATGTGGATACAACTATCCTTGATATGGAATCGTTAGCATGAAACTCCACTCCAAGTCAAGTTCCTTACCTTAGCTCGCCAGTCATTGTATGGTTACTTTGATATCATGTGATATAACGTATTTCATAAACAACTTTTGCTTCGAATTGAAGCGGAATTGAAGCGTGATTTACACTTACAGCAAGACTTCCAACCTGCATGACTGTGGAAGCATGTATGCAGCATGACCTCAACCTCATTCTGGACTTGTCGTAAGAAGGCTGAAATCAAACGTAGATCACTTTAGTAATTACTTAGAGTGTGTTGATTTGACTTTTATGCTTTCGGGAGGATCTTCCAAGACGTAAATTAAGGTGTAAGTATTACCAATACATGTAATCAAATTTTCTAAGTCGTCACGTATTTCGTGCTAGCCGATACAGATGTGTGAGACAGGGGCTTCGGAACAATTGCAAAAACAGTTTAGTGTTTCTTGGCTACAGGGATCAGAAAACAATTGAAGTGAGTATAAGCGTGCACCGTTTTTGCAAACAACTGTAACATTGTTACAGGTATAGTCACTTTGTATTCATAGAGTTTCTGTTTCTGTTTCTATATGCTATTCACATCTTTTTCCGCTTCTGATAGCATGGTGACAAACTGAGGTCATATCTGGACAAGGACCTTGGCCTCATGGGGTTCCTTAATACTCAAAATGAGCTCAAGAGTACATTTCTGTCCTCACCCCCGGTGTTTATCAGGTCCCCATGTTTAGGATTTAGTCTTTCCGTAGTTCTATCTTACTTGGATTCTTTATGTTGAATCCCAAAGTTTAATATTTCCATGGTAGTCTTGTTTTCTTTCAGCAGAGGTTGATAGGAAACAATAGAGAGCAACGTGACCATTATTATCTCTGGCGTACATATCGCTTGATTCGCTTCCTCTACTATAAAGGAGATCCAAATATTCAAGTTGGTTATACTTTATAGTGATGTGTTCCGCCGTGTCTCTATATTTATTGGCACAGTTGATAAAGTTCCCATATTCCTCTCTTTGACTTGCAATATCGAGGATAATCATCGCCATAAAATGATGAGAAGCGTTAAAGTTTCATTATAATAAGCAATGCATTATTGGATTCCCATTATATGATCCCTCCATGTGAGTACCTTTGTCGGATATAGCTTCATGCAAGACCAAAACAATGAGCGTGTTTTCTGGCAGGGATAAACAAATCCTGTTCTTTTTGAAATCGACTTTATGAGACTCGTACGTACAGTGGGGGTGCAGTAGTGTTGACACCCCCCTTCTTACCGCCCACGTTTATTGCCTGCAAAACTTACACCAAGGGTGCCAACACTACTGGAAAGGCACTGTACGTCGTGTAATTTTACGTGTCAAGATACCGTATCCGTACCAAGGCAGTACGTACCTGGTTGATCTGCGCTAAGGCCTTGGCCATGCGACTAGAATAGAGCCGTGCTCCACCAGCGTTTGTCGGTAACTCATTGAAGTTTCCAGACTAAGACCTTGGCAGTGGGGCAAGAAAAGTATCCATATGTTTGTTGGTCAACCCGATTTTGAGATTGACCGTACTAGTACTAGTACGGAGTAGCTCAACCATCTCTCCACTATGTGACGGCTCAGTCAGTGTGTGTGTGTGTGTGTGTATATATTTAACGGCCGTGGTTCGTGACTCGCACGCTTCCCACCGATCCCTACTGGGACATAGGCCGCCGAGGGGTAAGCCTCGGGTTTCGGGTCCTATCAGATTTATGTACAAATAAGAGACTCTTTGGCGCATTTCCATAGCTGCCGTGGTCTTACAGGGAGGTCCACTTTGAGTGGGTTTTAGGTATTTGCCAGCTGCAATGGTCCGCCTACACTCCATGACCTATTACTCCACCACTATTATAACTGAACAGTAAGTTTTGCAGAGAGGGAAAGAAAGAAGAGAAGAGAAAGAAAGAAGGAGAAGCTTCTACTTCTGCGTCGAAGACCTCTTTCCCGTATCCGTATGAGAGTGTGGAAGCAATCGAGATGCCTCACTCCAACGCACTGAGCCGCAGGGCGTCACGTGACCTCGTCTAGGATAGAGGGATGTAAGACCGCGTCGGGGCGTGAGTTAGATAGCAACAATCATATACATTTGAACCCATACAGAATTGCAGTACCTGCTAACCATCCTACGTACGTATGTACATTAACGTGTACACGTGCTTTATGCACTCACAAAACCTATATATAATTTTATTCGACTTCCTCATACTAAGGCATGGAGGAATAAGAGAGTGCTTAGTATGGTCAGCTTCAATGTCAAAGGCGCATATAATGGAGTCTGGAGATATCACGGAATTGCGTGGTAGAGTAATTTGCGGAGAGGAGTGCATCCGCTGATCGCTTACGTTAAGGAGGTCACGTAAGTTAACTAACTAACGTAATTCACAAGCGAGCCGTCACCCCAAGCGAACCGTCATTTTTTCCCGAACGCGTACACAATTTTGATTTCAAATCCCAATTTCTCAATCACGTACAAATTATATACAAAAATCTAACTACTAGTACGACTAGGACATCGGTTTATTTTATGCCCTTCAACGCCACAACCACTGCAGCGAAATTGGCGGCGTACAACTGCTTGAGAAGCCGGGAGCTCTGGCTCAGCCGGAGTAGTAGTAACAGCTTGAGATGCCTCAACCTGACCTTGTACGAGCGCTTGAGCTTCTTCACTAGTAATCCCATGCTCAATAGATATCTGTTTCTTAGATTTTTGGCGTTTCTGCTTCTCTTTTTCATGCGCAGCTCGTAAATCATAGTTTTCTTTCCGTGTAAGTAAAACATCATTCGCTAATATTTCATAGGCTTTTGATAACCGTATAACTGCTTGGTTGATTTCTTGATTCTGATTTCCTGTACGCTCATTTATACGTTTATTGATTGTAGTTGACTGGCGTACAAATTGGAGTATATTTTGAGGTGTTTGTAAGCAGGATGATGCTGTATTGCTTGATCGACTTGGAGGGGGGGTTGGAGTCTTCAATTGAACATTAAGATGTTGAAGAACTCGATCTGGATTAAAAGGTACTAATCCGGTGGCTGCGAAGCTATTCTGAATAGTTTGAGCTTTATATGCTGCCGTACGAGCCTGTGGAAATGCCGTTAAAAAGTCCATTTTGTCGATATGGTTGAATCCAAGCCTCATTCGTTGCTCAACAAGCTGCCCATAATGTCGCTTTAAAACTGCAAAACAGCCAACATCAAGAGGTTGTAATAGATGCGAAGAATGCGGTGGCATGCAAATTGGAATAATCTTATTCTCAGTGCATATATGATCAAATTCTGGTGTTAAATGGCTTCCATGTCCATCAAGAATCAACATTCGATAATTTCCCATTGACCGGCCATTAATATAAGGAATAAAATGGGTTTTAAGCCATTCTAATCCTATCTGATCTGTAGTCCAGCCATTTTCGCTAATATTGATTCTCCAATCGCTTGGCAGTTCATCAAACCAGGCTAATCGTACGTTTTTCTTTGCTTTGAAAATAATGTACGAAGGAATAGCCCAACCAGTTGAATTTGTTGCCTCAATTGCAGTCACCCATTCTCGATTTCCAGGTTGTAAAAGCTTTGGCCGAGCATATCGATCGCTTCCAGTAATAACTTTTGCAGTTGCGCAGAGTCCCATAGCAAATCCAGTCTCATCAAAATTGTAGATATCTTCTGGTAGAATTCCATACTCAGATATAGCATCTCGTACGCGATTAAAATGATCTTGAATGATCTTTGGATCTTCGCATTTAGCACGTTCATAATTATATTTCCTTGCAAACTTGGAATCAATCTCCGGACGGCGTTTAATCAGATTGGTTACCCAATTTTTTCCAACTTGTAGTTTGCCATGTTGTAAAAGAAGATAATTGACCATATCTCGTACGAGAGAGTGCCGGGGAGGTAATCCACGTCGATCTAGATCAAGAATCCATTTAACAAGCGAATTCTCCTCAGATTGAGTCAATTTATGGTGGTTGGCGCGTACAAGAGATCTTTGTTGAGTGCCGTTAAGCCTGTCTTGTAGTGTCATACGGGGGATATTGTAAATCCTTGCAGCTTGAGCCACACGTAGAATTCGGCCATTTTTTAAATCGGAAATTGCTAGCAAGATTCGTCCCTCTTGCTCTTCTAAATTTTTCTGGTTTTTCTTGCGAATTGGTGGCATATTGACGTGTTGAATAATATAGAATCAAAATTGTGTACGCGTTCGGGAAAAAATGACGGTTCGCTTGGGGTGACGGCTCGCTTGTGAATTACGTTAAGTGTACGGAGACAGCTGTCTCTTACGTAAGGTGGTCACCTGAATAATTTTTAGAATCAGGTGTCTAAAAGGACTGGATGATTCACTTTCTATTCCCCTAGTTCAAAAATATGGTAGACAGACTTCCTTCTATACGGGAAATTTTTCTATCTTTCTCTTCATGCCAGAGATGCAAAAAGCCTTCCAATAACTTACACTATGCGTAAGAGATAGTACTTGCTATGTTTTCAATTCCGCCACCATAGCTAACTATTTTAGTAGAATTCATAAATATATAGCCCATCTCCGGTGCGGTTACTGCGAAAGGGATTTATTACTACTTGAGAGTGGATATATATTTTATAAAGAAGAAGGCCTAGAATTAGTATTCTCTGGGTCTGTATATTGCGGAGGTTGTAAAAAAAATCTCTGGATATCAGGTATGAGGTACAAATATGAAGACAAAGAGTTAAATCCATTACTACATGTATCAAGAAAACGAGACAGGCCTGATTGGCAACCAGACAGGGTTCTATCAATATTTTAGTTAGGTATAGTAATGGATTGTTATGATATATAGCTTGGCACCATTTGACGGATTCCTGTCTTCGGACAGCTGTCCTAGGACTAATATAGGTCCTTGGACGGATTTCTGTCTTCGGACAGCTGTCCTGGGACGGATTTCTGTCCGCGGACAGCTGTCCTAGGACTAAAATAAGTCCTTGGACGGATTTTTGTCTTCGGACAGTTGTCCTACGACAAATGAGATATATGTCCGAAGACAGTTATTTGTCCTAGGACAGCTGTCCGAAGACAGAAATCTGTCCAAAGACCTATATTAACAACAATACAAAACATGAGGAAAGGAAGAAATAGAACGGAGTGCGCGATCGCTGAGCGGTGTTAGCGGGATCACGTGTAAGGCTCCAAGGCATCTATTGACTGAGTGTTTGTGTAAAACATGAAGGAGGTTTCGAGTAAGTTGATCTACGCTAAGGCTTGGCTGTGGGACTAGAATAGAGCCATGCTCCACCGTGTCCCACCAGCGTTTGTCGGCAAGGCCTTGGCAGTGGGGCAAGAAAAGTCCGATTTCGAGATTGACTGTAAGTACAGAGCTCAACCATCCTCCACCATCTTAGTTTGGCCCGGCTCATTTCGTGCTCTCTCACGCTATGGTCATACACGTTTACGTGTTAAGACCTTAACAGGTAAAATAACTAGCAGTCCCGATAGGCTCATTACATTGTGTATCAATATTTTAATGGCATGGTGGAAAGTGTGGATACTTCAGCTAGTTATTCTTAATCGGAACTATTAGACAATATGGAAACCAGCATATAATTGCTGGTATCTCAATCATGCCTAACTAGGCATCCCAAATCCTGAGTTCTTGGGGAGTAGTCATGTTATCAGAAATCAGAATAATATAGGCTCGTCAGCTTGTTGGATTAGCTGTTCTACGTATCTAGTGTTAGCAACCTAGATGTAGATAAACTAATAATAATTTTACTCGAACTTCCTCATACTTGGAAGGAAAAACGCGATTATGTGGCCCTTAATGAAAATGGTCTCTTCAAAGGGGATATACCACTTCCACCATCCAGAAAAATGAAAGTAGTATATACTACAAAATTGGCTAGCGCTAGGATTTCAGGCTCTCCGGCAGCTGACAGTAATGGTTTTCAGAGCTTATTGAACCTTGATACAGAATACACCCTTCGCAATCAATATCTCAGGTGAAATGCGAGGCTAGGAGTGTCGAAATTAAGCAGAAAGATGAGGCCCGGCCAAGAGAGCAGAGCAAGATCTGGAAATACTACTTGACGACACCTGAACCTGGTACCTGAAAATTAGGAAATAATGGACGACCTGAGCTTAAAATGTCAGCGTATTGTATTACTATCTACGTGTCGATTCTTTCAATTTGCATCTAAACTACGATCTTCAACTATAGCGTTGGAAGTTGGAACAGCACCATCCAGCAGGCCCATAAGCTTGAATTTCCTTGTATATTCAAGGTAGCACAAGATCACCTTGCTATACCAGCAGCAGAGGTAGATATAGAGAGATTGTCCAATGGCGGGAGAGATACACGCTGGAAGTCTGAATAGTTCTTATTGGCGTATTTGGTGTTGGTACATTACGCCCTAATCAACTTTGAATATCCAGGTTATGAATTATAAAATATGCATGTTTACGAATTTGAGGCTTGTTCCCCGGGATTGGCGGTCTCCAAAAGCCTGTTTTCGTAAGAAAACCAGGCTGTTCGAAATTCGCGGGTTTTTACGAATCGAATTGCCCATACATTCGAAGTTCGAAATCAAGGTTCGAATTCGACTTGATTCGCCGATATTCGCGAATTTCGAATAGTTCAAAAATTCGTGCAGAGCGGTAGGTGAAATGAAGCTCCTAAAATCAATTCCTACGCTCCATATCTACATACCCTAGGTTCGCACGTCTTTAGCACAATTTTTAATGTACGGGATTATATATAGAATCCTATTGGCTCGTTACTAAGCCTGATATGCTAACTCATAAATTTGTACGTTTGAGCGGAAGCCGTTTGTTCTTTTTCCTCTTCTCAGTACTTTATTATCTACTCGAGAATGAATATATAGTAATTCATAAGGCGGGACTGGCCGTAACAATCGTGATCCCATGTGAGAAGTCTTAGTCTAGGCTAAATCATAATAGAAACCCAATAAGCCTTCCTTAAAGTGCGCATAGCTATCACAATATGCCTCCAGAATTTTCTCCTCTAGTTTTGAATTCCCTCGATCACTGGTAAAGCTCTGTATTGCCTGGTTGAAGTCGCCCTCAGAAGCGTAAGATAAGGCAAGGTCAACCATAGACTTATCACTTGGGGAAAGTCGAGAGTATATTTTATTCTGTTGCTTGGTATCTTGAAAGGAAACATGTAAGACACGAAATGGTACAATAAATTGTTAAATTATGGGTTCTTAGCAGTACTTACCTAAAGGCATTATGTCGTTGTTTAACTTGGTCTATTATCAAGCCGAGATGAACTTCAAACAGAAGAACGAGCTTCTTATACCTTCGCTGTCAAATATTAATAGCCTCACTCTATATAAGGCCTCGCTATATTATTTCATTTGGTCCTCTTGACCTTCTAGCTCATAGTTCAATGAATAAATATGATTGGCCTTTTCTTTGATGTGGGGCCTGTAGCATTATCCGTAATTAATATCCAATCAAATGGGCTGCCCCGTAACAAGTGGGTGTCTCTGGTTACGTTATTGAACTAATTTTATCGTTAGTTTCTTTCTTCCCTAGTCGAAAACGACTGCCAAGGAATTGGAATGACAAATTGAGCGACAACAGTATCAGATCGATGATGTACGCTTGCGCGGAGCGCTAGATTATAGTTGCGTGCCAAAGCGGTATACTCTTTATCCTTTCTTGAACCCTACTTCTCTCTATAAATGGTTAAGCGTCATAGGAAAGTGGTGTCGGGGACGCTTATTCAAGAATGGTGAGCGGAGACAGTGTCTCTAAGGTGGTAACTGAATAATTTTTAGAATCAGGTGTCTAAAAGGACTGAATGATTCACTTTCTATTTCCCCTGGGTCAAAACTATGGTTTAAAACTATGGTAGACAGACTTCCTTCTGTACGAAAAATTCTTCTATCTTTCTCTTCATGCGAAAAGCGTTCCAGTAACTTACACTCTGCGTAAGAGATAGTAAGCTATGTTTTCGATGCCATTATATAGCTGACTGTTTTAGTAGAATTCATAAATATATAGCCCATCTCCGGTGCGGTTACTGCGAAAGGGATTTATTACTATTCGAGAGTGGATACATATTTTATGAAGAAGAAAAAGACCTAGAATTAGTATTCTCTGGATCTGTTGTATATTGCGGAGGCTGTAACAAACATCTCTGGAGATCAGGTACTGTATAGTAATTATGTATATCGAGAGTTATATTTTTATTTAATTTCAGGATGGCGTTGGAAGTCGAACTACGGAACGGTTCGCGAATACCTTCATTACGCCCGGCACCAATACGCTATTTGTCCTGCATTACATACAGTCTCATGTCGAGAGGCTGTATCAGCTCGAAAAACCTTTGAGATACCGGACTCACACGCCTCCATTCTCGGTGTAGTTTTGTAAACCTCTTCCCTTAGCTGACCGCCGATTGATCATACAGTCCAGCTTACTGACATCCTCTGCCACGAGAAGGTGACTTTCGACGAGGGACCACTTTAATTCTGCAATTCTATTTTCTAATTATAGATTTGATTGTATAAAAGCAGCGAACGATCCACGTTGATGATCAGTGTAGAATTGCCATGGGATTTTAGCTTCCTTCTCTAAGATATCTTTCCTATCTTCCTATATAAGGGTTTTGTTCCCCTCTCGAACGTAAGGATGCATACCCTACGTAACGTTATTACACCTCTAAAACCTCTTCCCTTCGAGACCGATCAAAATGGCAGTATCAAGGAGACTTTCACAAATCACGGGTTTAGAACGCATTCTAGGTCGGGACATGCTGCAGGTAAATTAATATTCTTAATAACAACAGATCTGCCCTTACACCAACCTCGTCAATAGTCCAGCGAGCCTCTATAACACCAACTGAGAATCCAAGACCAAGCAGTTCATGTCGGATCTGAGAGAAATGGAGTATGTAATTAACACACTAGTCCCTCCGGGAGTAATAAACATCATTCATATGAGAGAGTGTGAAAATGTGAAGAAGGTTTCGAATCTCTCTGTATCGACTATAATACAATGATTATTGTCAATAATTATCGATAGGCAACTTATCGATGACAAGTCTGATTCGAGGTCCATAGAGGCCGGCTCGAAAGAGTAGTTCGGCACAACCGTGTCATTTTTAAGAAGTTTATGTCATTGAAATGCATATGTACGTAACTACGTCAAAGAAACGGTTAATGGTTGATTATTAGCTCAGGTCTCAATTATGAGGATGTGGCAAGCATAAATACCTAGATATTAATCAACATTCAAAAGACTGGAAGCAGCAGATGGTCGATATTTTTTATTATATAGTACCTACTGATGGTTTTATGAAACTGTTGGTTTAAATAGGCTGTATTCTTCAAAGCTACGAAGGGCAAGCCCTGGATTCCATTCATCCCTCTACTTTATACTTCGCATATCAGGTTCCCTACCAAACAAGATGGTGTTCATCGAATATGACCTCAATGAGTTCGGCTCAAACATAACCATCCTACAACCCTCTTTCAACCCTGATCTCACCCAGGATCCAGTCGTCATTAGTATATCTCGTGATCAATTCGTCGCCTTCCGCATACCAAATGAATATGGCATCAGCGTGATAATTGAACAGCACCTGACTCCCAAAGAAATTGTCGTCCTCCTCGTCAACAATGACTATGCCCTCATTGGCCGTGTATCGGTATACAATGCTCGTGACCCTAGCTACTGGGGCAAACAGCTGAATGGAGCCCTTACAGAACAGCTTCACTGGCGCGACAAACTGGCCGATAGCAAGCTCTTCGTATGGGAGCCCAAAGAGGAGATTCCTGAAGAGTTTACCACGAGCTTTCTTAAATCATGGACTTCCAATTGGAACTTACACGCAACTCGTGAAGTATACGAAGTCATGGCTAAAGAAACTATCACTGCCATGGAGTTTAACAAGCACAAGGTACCTGATAGGCCTTTTTTGAAGATAACTCGTACCCTGGATAGCTGGACGAAGTGCGGTGTTGAATCCAAGACGCTATATCGCTCTGACTATCTTAGCAAGCTGTGAATTATACGATGATGTATCCAGACAGACCTCCATATCACTTGAGTTTTGCTCAGCCCTAGTTACAATTATTAAAAGAATGGCACACACTTTACTCTTTGGTTGTTCTATCGTACCTATCTTTTGATGTGTCTGTGACTGCCTTTTTTGGCTTGGGTAAAACTAGTGGGTTAGGTACTACTCGTGCATGTTCATTCCGTAGTGTTCTGGCAGCCTCAATGAGACCTTGTTTGATATAAGACATATTTTCCTAAGCTTGATAAGTAATGTGATTAGTGTGGGTAGAATTTACTCTTCCACCTAAGTACCTCTAACAATCAACCACGGCAAAGATTCGCTTAAGTTGGGAGAAAACGGTACTTCCTTGATTCACGACATGCCTCATTTTTATAGTTCAATCTAGTTTCGAAGCCTGTTAAACGCTTCTATAGCATAGTGTTTTCCTTCCTCCGAAATGAACGCCATTTGCTTCCATTGGTCGGGCTTTGGCATGGCTTCGCATCCGTCCATCACCAAGGCGAGCTTTTCTGCATGCAGAGACATTTCCTTAATCTGAGATTCGGTGGCCCAACAAAAGGCTTCATGTTCCATAGGGCTCAGTCTGATGTTCTTCAAGCCCTCGTCGCCATCCTTGACGCTGCCGATAAATATAATCTTGAGGTTATCTTTCATCCACAGCATCCAGGGAGCCTGAAATTGATACTGGCCGACGTAGTCGTCGAAGCTCGCAAGATCCAGGCCAGTTTCCTCCCACAGCTCACGCTGTCCAGCGCGCAAAATCGTTTCCCGCAGAATCCAGTCCACCCCACCACCTGGTAATTCCCATTTTCCCACTTTTGCAAACTAGCGTTTGGTCTGCAGTAACAGTATTTCAGGTTCAGGCCTAGTATGCCGCACAGGATTCATCCGTACCTAATTAAGAACTCTCGGAGACTTCTTAAACGATTTCAGTCCCAATTCATGATTCCGAATCTGGCGGAGCCACCTTAGGAAACGAAAGTATGGACTTTCAGGGAAGCTCCGGAGAATCAGAGCGTGCCAGCTCGTGCCCATTAGGAGATTTCTCAAAAAGAAACAGAAGTCCATCAGCATACTTGTCTTGTTCACCCACTCCATTGGTTGTGGTCCCGGATCTATCACGTTCTGTTTTATTGTGCGAAACGTCTAGTCGGCAGAACTCCAACCGTTCTCAGTACTCGGAAGGGATGGTCGAAGATCCTCACGAATCGGACTCAGCTCCTTCTGACGACGAGAACGATGCAGACTACCTGGATCACTCCGAGACAGAAGACGCTAGCGAGAGCTTACACCCATCTAAGCGTCGTCGTAGAAGTCCAGGCGACGCTTCGTCGGCCACTCAAGAAGTGCCCAAAACGTTGTCTTCAGAGTCCCCGCTCGCTGATCAACCTGAGTCAATACCAGAAAACCCGAGTCCAGAGAGTGAATCAATTCCTATCCAGGGTTTCCTCCGATTACGAACTAAGGGAACCGAGGTCATATACTCTTTAGAGTTTTCACAGACGCAGTTTTCGTCATTTTTTGCAGGCAAACAGATAGACTCTTCTCGATCACATCCGCGGACAGCCTATCCCAGGATGAAGACCCCATATACGCCCGAGGAGGACGCATTCATTATTAAGTTGAAGGCTAAAAACCTTAGCTGGGACGAGATCAAAGATCAATTTAATATTAGATTGGGTCTATCTATAGTTTGTACTCAGCCATGGCGTAGCTCAGGGTTATGATCTTCCGACCGTACGAGGTTTTCTCTGTCATATAGAAACCTGTTCCTATCGATCTCGCAATATTGATCGTATACGACAGCATTATAACCAGGCACATGGATGGCGCAAAAGTCAAAGAATAATGCCTTGGAATCATGCACATCTTCAAACATTATTTCAGGAAAAGGAACAAATTCGTTACTTTACCGTAGTACCAGCTAATCTATTCTCCTTACCACATGTCTCTCCATCTATCACATCTACTCTTACTACAAATGATCTACCTTCCTTGGATACTCTTCTCCAGGAATACCACACATTTCAAACTCAGAACTCTGTGTCATATACTGTGAATGACAGTCAGCATATCTCTGAAATTACTCCATGGTTGCGAACCACTGGTATTCATGTTCACCTTACTAGATTAGATCTAGAAACGGTAGGAGATCTTTATCGACTTCCTAATCATGATGAGACAAGATTAGATCTCATCTGCGCCAGCGTGGACCGAATCTGGAGACAGACAGAACAGCTACTACATCACAACCCTGTTAGTGACATCCCACGGCTAAGTCGCTACAATGCTCGACTTCTCAATACCTTTACGCGAGGAGAGATCTCGCAGAATCCTATCCAGCCTCTCCAGAATCCTCAGAGTCGCTCTCGGTACATTCAGACCTGGCAGAGGTTAATCTGTTATTGGAGTCAAGTAATGGATGACCAGCTCCTTCCTAATCCTTTGTTTCTGCAACAGAGGGTCAGAAGTCTACCTGGGACGACGTGATCACTGCTGCTAAGAATCTAAGTCACCAACAAGAATTAGAGCAGAATAATGATGAGGCTCTCCATCAACTCCAGCAGGAGATGGATAAACAAACCCTTGCATTTTGCCTTGAGATTATCCAACAGTCAGTCTCTTTGCGAGCCTTTAACTCTATCCTGGTCTCCTTTGCAGCACTTTTATTCTGGATACCAGATAAGAAACAGTGGATGACAGTTAGCAACTACACCTCCTTTCTCTCACAACTGATCTATAACTGTCAGATCTGGATCCTAGCCCTTTCTATCCTAGAACAACAGAACCATCCTACTCAGGATCTTGGAGATATTATTATTAGACACCGCGATCGATGGCTACTCAATGATACCAAGGGACCCGTGGCGGAGCTACTGGAGAATCGACTGTATGCATTCCGGATTGCAATGAGTGAGGTCCCCCCTGCTCAAGTACGATGGGATCGAGAGGGCCAAGTCATTACATTCCAAGATGTAAGTCTGTCCTTGTTGGAACTCTCTCGACTGATCCGCGAGGGCATCTCTACCGCGCAGGCCATCTTCGAGCAAGAGTTGTGTTTATCCGGCCCAGCACGGCCGGCTACTGAGATCCCTCAATTTGATCTTAGTAATCTGATGGATAACTGGGATGCTACACAAGCTGGTGCATCCTTTCTCACAGATTCTCGCAATCATGCCTACGTAGTACCCTATCAGGACTGGCTCTTCCGTCGAGTCAGTCAGGATGCAGTTCTGTTTCCAATCTTTTGGGAGTTGGGTGTTGATCAGACCTGGCGGATCTCACCCAAGATGGTAGAACAGTACGAAGCAACTATCCAGCGATTCCTAGAGGCTTTACTCGTCCCCTTCTTTATTGGATCTGGCCAGCAAGCGCGACGCACTGAGTTCCTAGGAATTCGATGGCGCAACACCCTCCTGCATACTCGCGATCTCTTCCTCCATGATGGTCAAATGCTCTTTATTCTGGATTATCATAAGAGTCGTCATCGTACTAATGCCTCTCGATGGCCCGCCCGGTTTCTTCTCCCAGAAGTAGGACACTTAGTTACGCAGTTTCTCATCTTAATTATGCCCTTCCGACAGTGGTTACAGCACCAGGTGCAAACTATGCATTCTTCCACATCCACTCCACTCTGTGACTACCTCTGGGCCTCTACGACAAAGCCTTGGTCTGATAATCATCTTACGTGGACCGTGATCCGGACTGGAGAGCAGATCCTTGGTAAGAAGATTCATATTCGAGCCTGGCGCCAGATCACTGTTGGGATTGCCATTAAGAAGTTTAGAACTCTTGCGTCACAGTTTATTGAGGATTCTCTTGATAATGAAGATGACCTTATAGAGGATCACAATGGCAGTATGGCTGCGGTATTCCATTATCAGGCTGCACATACACCTCATACTGGGAATCCGATCTATGGAGGGACCATCAATTTTCGAGCCGGTCTCACCGATGCTGGTCTTCAAGAATTCCGCCAAGCTAGCGAGATCTGGCATCAATTAATCAAACAGCCCTCGCAGTACTCTACACCTAGCTTATTAAAAAGACGACTGCCTGCTGTATTCACTCAGTCCTTGCAACCAGCCAACGTCAATATAGAGTGGGAATGGGATGAGAGTCCTTCCAAGCGAGTGCGGAGTGAGGCAACTGAGTCCACACTAGTTCAACGATTTCATCGTTGCCACGAACCACGACAGAGTCAACAGCGCTGGACTATGGAGCAGGCGCAGACCATTCTAAAGCGCATGTATGGACCAGAAGCGCAGTATCGAACCAGTAATCAGCAACAAGCCTTGCAGTATATCATCCAGGGTTTTAGTCAAGTGGTTGCAGTTCTTCGGACAAATGAGGGCAAGAGCCTACTCTATCTTCTGCC